CTGCGGCGTCGAACCAGACAACGAACCAGACGACAATGAAGATCAATCTGGTGGTGGCGAAGGACGGAAGCGGAGAACTTCACCCCCATAAACGATGCACTAAACGCAGCGCCGAACAACAGCAACACGAGATTCGTGATATACATAAAAAAAGAGAAGCGTATTTCGAGTACATCGAGGTTGTAAGAGCGAAGACGATGATAATGTTCTTGGGAGATGGGATTGGTAAAACTTTGATCAAAGGTAACAGAAGCGTTGTCGACGGCTGGACTACCTTCAGATCTTCTACCGTTGGTCAGTTTTCTTTTTTATTTTCCTCCCTTTTCAATTAATTAATTATTAATTAGTTGTTTATTGCGTCATTATTTCGTCGTAATTAAGTAGGACCCATGCATGCCATTGCATTAGCTTAATCATAATAATGTCTTTAATTAATTGCACCAAAGTACAGAATCTTGCAGTTAAATTTGTCTTAGTTTGTGACTTATATTACTTCCATCTGTGATTTTTAATTATTAATGTGACTGTCTTTTACTAATAATTAAAAAAAAAAAAAAAAAAAAAAATTCAGCCTTTAGTTTATGTCCTTTTGCTGGTGACTAAAATATCTCTACTAGTAGAATTTTACTATTACTCTGGTCACAGTTCCTAGGTGATGGCATTGATGATGATTAGGGTAGATAGTTCCGTACACCACGCGCTCAACTTCCTATATTCTTTTAAGTTTTAACACAAAACTACACTAATACAGGACATAATTACCTTTTTGTCCTTCATAGTTTTATTAAAAATGTTTCAAATTTCAATCATGAATCACGATTGTATATATGGATGGTTGTCTGCAATTACTATATACTTTATATCTGTCGGTGAACCAACCAGGCCTAAAACCGTCATTTACCAACCCCGATTTATTTGTTTATATTCAGACCTCTTGGAAAATGACTTGCGATTTTCTCAATACTACTATATCATGTGAATACTGATATGGACCAATTGTCCACTTACCTTTTGTCGCTCTTTATTTCTTTATTCAATATTAATATTTCGTGCCCAATTCTTTTTTTCTTTTTCCTCGATTTTGTTCATTGGGAAAATGATTTGAAACCGGACAAATTTTTAAAGTAAGAAATCAATGTGATGTGGGGACGACAACTTTTTCCAATGGGGCAGTTACGAGAAATTAGATGTTAGACCTGGTTATATACATTGGATGATTGTTAACTGAACAATTCGAGAAAAAGTTTCGATCAAGATTGTCCTTTTTTCTTTTTCTTTTTTTTTTTTCTGAAAAACAATTTCAAATTTTCGATTATTTAGTTTATAAATCGAAATCGTTAATAAAATGTAGAGTTAATATTTGTATTATTATTTTTGAAATGCAGCTGTGGTTGGAAACGGATTCTTAGCGAAAGGCATCACCTTCGAGAACTACGCCGGGCCAAGCAAACACCAAGCCGTGGCTCTTCGCAGCGGCGCCGATTTCTCGGCTTTCTACCAATGCAGCTTCGTCGCCTACCAAGACACGCTCTACGTCCACTCCCTCCGCCAGTTCTACCGCGAGTGCGACGTCTACGGCACCGTCGACTTCATCTTCGGCAACGCCGCCGTCGTCTTCCAGAACAGCAACCTCTACGCCCGAAAACCCGACCCCAACCAGAAGAACATCTTCACTGCCCAAGGCAGAGAGGACCCCAATCAGAACACCGGAATCTCGATCCTCAACTGCAAAGTCGCCGCCGCCGCCGACCTGATCCCGGTTCTCTCCCAATTCAGAACCTTCTTAGGCCGGCCGTGGAAACTCTACTCGAGAACCGTTTTCATGTTTTCGAACATGGAGGCTGTCGTGGACCCCAAGGGTTGGTTGGAATGGGACGGCGATTTTGCTTTGAATACTTCTTATTACAGAGAGTACAAAAACCGTGGGCCCGGATCTAATACGACCGCTAGGGTGACGTGGACTGGTTACGCAGTTCTTAATAGTTCGACGGAGGCCAGTCAGTTTACCGTTGCCAATTTCATTCAGGGTAACCAATGGCTGCCGGCCACGGGGTTTCCGTTCTTTCCCAATTTAACGGCGACCTGAGATTCTTTTTCCAGGTACCGACAAGTTCTCCGGCATGGATTATAGCTAATGTATTTTTCTCTGTCGGACATTTGTTTGATTCGGTTAACCATTTTATCGAAGAATTTTTCACTTAATTAATGCTAACTAATTATAGGGTGTCCAAATCCAACAAATAAATTACGTTTAACATGTAAGCTTAGAATCACATGTTAGAAAACACGATTAAATTAAGAAACAAGACAAACACTTCTTATTTATGCATATATATGAAGGTTAACTTTTACTTGGGGATCGAAGGTTTCACCGTTCTATGTTGAACCATCAACAGCCAAAGGAACAGATTTCACCTGAAACAGAGCAATTTAATATAATCAGATTCTATTATAACAAAAAATACTAGTATTTGACGACCAATCAAAAACTAACGTACCAAGTCGCGGAATTTGAGAATGTAGAACATCTCAAGATACCTACGAGCTTCGCGCCTCTCTAGCTTCGAAACATATTTCCAGAACCCATAAACCCCCGCTAATGTCATCAGCCTCTCCGAGTAAATCTTCCATGTGTACCTTCATCAAAGCACGATTTCGTTACGATTTTACACTATAAAAGGAGATGCATATTTTCAATATATTCCTACATAGTAAGTACCTTTCTTGAATTCTTTGAAGACCTGCTTGAGATATAGTCACCCAATAACTGGGATCTTCATTGCATTTCTGAAAGAAATCCGCCATGAGGGCCGAAGCTTTATCTGGATGATATGGATCAATATGAAATCCAGATATACCATCTTCGATAATCTCCAGTGGGCCCCCATGGCAAGTAGCAAATGTTGGAAGGCCACATGTCATCGCCTCCACCACCGTCAGCCCAAAAGCTTCATACAGTGCAGGCTACCAAAAAAGAAAAAAAGGAAAAAAAAGGGAGTTAGAAGTAACTTAGTCGAATTAAATAAGTAGGAACTATAGATAAATGTCACACCTGAACGAAAATCCCTCTCTTGTCAGCTATGTAGCGGTAGAGTTCACCGTTACGCGCACGATTCGTTTGGGCTGCTATCCAACGAATCTGGCCGTGTAAATTGTGCTCCTTAATAATAGCATGCATCTTTTCGATTTCTGATATTTCTTCTCTGTCGCTTGATTTTTTCACATCGTTGTAACCAGCCACCACCACAAGATTAGCCAATTCCCTTAGCTTGGCATTTTTACCGTACGACTCCACCAATCCGGAGATGTTTTTGACTCGGTCAAGCCTCGCCATGGAGAAGATTATGGGCTTCGATGGATCTTCCAGTACACCACTGTGTCAAGTATAATTGAAAGTTAATTCTCTTACATGTGTGTGTGTGTGTGTGTGTGTGTGTGTGTGTGTGTGTGTTGAAATTTCATTTACATGTGCTCGTCGTTTTGCTGAGGATCGTATATGAGCTTTTCGAGGGATGCATGGAAAGAAGTAAGTCTTTTGGCCTCGTCTGAATACGTGAAGTATATGGTATCATCTGCTCCAGGAGAAACTATGTTGAACTTAGTATCGAAAACATCTACACCATGGACAACACGATATAGACCTGGCAGAGTGAAAGCTGCGTGACTCTCGTACTGACCAACGGTATTCTTTCTGAATACAGAATAACAAATGGATTTAATTAACATCGGCGTTTAAATCTTCGGCAAATTTAAGACAACCAAAATGAGGTATTTATGACAAATTTCACATAATTAGTTACTTACGTTCCGGCAATTTCTTGGTATGTACTTGTGATTATAAAATCTGAATGGTTCATGGCTAGTAGGTCAGCGGTGAACTGACATGAGAAATGGTACTTCTCCTCGTATTTTTTCCAATATATGTCGGAATCTGGATATTTGGTTTTCTCCAAGGCATGCGCAATGGTGCACTGGCAATAGAAGAAATATATATATAATTAACATAATTGTAGCGACTTTTGAAAAGTAAATTATGGAATATAAGCATAATTCTTACCTCTGTGACGCCCATCTTATGAGATAATAAGGAAGCAACAAGGTTTCCATCACTGTAATTGCCAATAATTAGGTCCGGTACGCCCTGCAACTCTGCAGCAATTTCATTTGCAGCATCCTGAGCAGAAAACATGGAAATGTAACTAATGCAACAATAATATATTCTGAAATTTCTACATCTTAAGAATACGAGTCACGTGAAAGAGTTACCTCTGCAAATTTCTCCAAATAGGGCCATACATCGAACCTTGAAATCCATTTGCGAAGAATTCCATGCTCGGTTTTAAAAGGGACACGTAGTATATGTGAATGCTCGCATCCACTTATCCTTTCTAGTCTCTGGTTGCATGAGGTCCCTGCTGAGTCGGGTATCAATCGAGTAACCTGAAAAAAAAAAATGAAAAAATAAATAAACAAATAACCACATCAGCATAAAGGAAAAATCGATGAAACCCAATTGACCGTACAATTAGAACCCGTGGGGTGATATTCAGCCCTTGTCTCTTTATTCTCTGGATCATCTCATTCTCCAACGCACGTACTTGATCTAATATGTAAACAATCTGCACATGAACTTAGTTTCATTAAACTTTATTTTTTGATGTATAACGTTTGAGAATAAACAATGCCAAGAAATGAATACCTGACCGCCAGTATCGGGTAAACCTAGGACATTTGCTTGTCCGAAATATCCATGCACAGACAAAATGACAACATTAAACACCATAGGTACTTGACCAAGAAATGTTTCGAGTGTAGAAGGGTCCGGAGCTTGAAGTATGTCCGAGAGAAGATGCATCATCTCCAAAACCCGTGCAGCAGTACCTCCCCAACCCCTCTCAAACCCCATCCCTTGCAATCTGCATCCCCATATAATAAATTCAATAATAATAAAATCAAACATAATTTATCGTAAATCTAAAATTATAGAATCAATGTATTACAGAAAACTCACACATATTCAAACTCGGAATACTGTGTTTCTGGGGGTAGTTTAGAGACATAATCCTCAGCCTTGGTCAATGCAGACTCGAGACTGGATATGCGTTGAATTCTATCATTCAACATCAACACCTATGCAGATAGAAAGAAAAAAATTTATTAAGATGATTGCAATTTTTTGCAAATGTTTTGAATCGAGTTACGCATTTAGGTTCTAGCACACTGACATGCCCTTTATATCTATGAACTCGGAGGAAATCGAGTAATGGCTCAAGAGACTCTTTGTTGCGAAACATGACTGAAGAGAGATGGCGGTTAAGAAATTGGACACCATTGCCGATTGAAGAAGATCGAGTTGGGCGAGGAAATGTTGCATTAAATGGCTCGAAATCCAGTTCGAGAGCAAACGGGTCGTCTTTCCTAGAGAATATTGCAATAAATTATTCAATAATATAAAATTAAGGAAAAAAAAGTTTGAATGCGTAAATTAGAAGCAGAGAGGGGAACGAACTGCCCGTCGACAAGTTCTTCTTTGAAACGTAGATATTCAGAAACGGTCAGCTCCTCGACACTGAGTTCATAGACATTGACTCGGACAAATTCCCAAACACCGGGCCTTGGTCGGATAGCTATAGCAACAAAAGGTGGTAAAACTATTGCTTCCTGTAAAAAAAATATTAAATAAAAAAAGTTAGAGCAAATTTTGGAACTGCAACATTTCATATACTTTAACTGGACAATGAAATTAGCCTAAACACAGCAACAAACATGCTTTAGCAGTGTAATTCAACAAATTCAGTGTAATTTTGAAGCCAAACCCCAATTTAATTAATGTGAAAAATTAAGAATTAAAAACCTCTGTGGATGAACTAAGTTAGCCCCAACTGAAGACTCGTAAATAAAAATAAAAAAAAATGAAAATGACCTGAGCAGTCCTTAAAACTTCACTGAAGGGGCCGTCGCTGAGGGTTTTGCGGGCAGAATCGTCGCCGATGATGTTGTCCAGTTCATCAATTAGGATATGGGGCTGCAATATACCTTTCCCCTGAGCTACATATCTTCAATCAATTACAAATCCAGTTCAGATCAAACTTATTAATCTTCTCATAATTAAAATTAAAAAAAAAAAAAATTGAAAATGAAAACGGAAATCCCAAGGGTGATCTAGAAACATCCAGAAAATTGAATCTACAGAGAATAAGAAATAGGGGAAAAAGAAATACCGAGAAAGGAGAGAGACGAGTTCGTTCCGGTGAGCAGAAAGAGTGTGTTCGACCCTTTCTCTCATGCTTGGTAGTTTCACTAATTTTGGGGTCGTCATTTCACTTCTTCAAAAATTAAATTAATCAAAATAAAAATTAAATTAAATCCTTCCGATTTTCAGGACGAGTTTTCCGGTTCCCTGGACTAATAATACAGAATCAAACGCGAGAGAATTGAAGTGTTGTGTTGCTAACTGAGCACAGAGAGAGTGGAGAGAGAGGAGAGAGAGTGATCTAGAGAGAGAAAAGGTGACGGACGGATGATACTAGAACATGAGTATAATTCATTAATTCAATGCCAACACATATATAGTTTTCACACTCAAAATTAAATTAGGGGGCGCATGTCATCAACGAAATATCATGTGTTATAATATTTCATTTCTCAATTCCCCATGTAACAATATGCTACTACGTGTTCAATAGCCATTGACTGGTCATGTAATATGATCAATACGTGTAATAACTAGAGAGTTTTACATAATAAATTAAGCCAAATATCCAAAATTTAACATCAAACTAAGGAAAACTTGCAAGTATTTTTTAATTTCTCGAAAATATCAAATTGCTGAACTCCAACTCTGACTAAATGAACCCTCATACTATTTTTCTTTTTTCATATAATAATTCAATTAAGTCTGTTATTACACAAAGCCCAAATTGCAACAGGCCGTTGACTGGGTCGGATCTAAGTTGCCTAGTCCTTAATTGAGCTGTTGTATGGAAGGAATGGCCCAAGTATATTTCATCTCAACCATAAATATATAATTAACTTCATTAATCTACACCTCTAATTATTTCATTATCTCAATTATTCTCAAACTTATTTACTTAATTTTAGGGCGAGTCACACAAAATTCAATGGAGGCAAAATATCATGACCAAAAATAGTACTTACCCTAGTACTAAAAATAAAAATCATGTAATAATTAACGATCACAAATGCAACGAACGAACGAGAAACTAGAACAAATCTCCATCACTAAAATGATTAGTAACAATTCGAAAAAAATCAGATATAAAAGCCTGGGCAAGAGTGAAGCCTAGAAACAACAAACCATTAGCTTTGGGACAAACATTTATTTAATTTTGTACATAACATAAAAATTGTCTTTCTTCCTCTCGGGGTGGCGCGCGGGTTAATGCATGATGGCTAATACAATTAGAGAAAGTCGTGTGGTCGTAATTACAAAGGCGTGCTTGGCTATCAGCGTAGCATGCATGCTGATGATCAACGACAGTGTCGAATGTAGTAGCCCCGTTCTTTCCCGCCGAAGCCTAGCTGGTGAGGTCGAGACAGTTTTTAACGTTATGGATTATGGGGCTAAAGCTGATGATGACACAACCGACAATGCACCGGTAACTAAATTAATTAAAACACATTTAATTACTTTAATTTCCATGCATTTATATATAATTACTATATTAATTAATAATACGATGTTATTGAAAATGAAGGCATTTATCAAGGCTTGGAGAGCGGCATGTGATTCGAACGGAGCGGGGAAGGTTTTGATCCCGGCCGGAAATAATTTCTTTTCGGGGGAGATTGTGTTTGCGGGGCCGTGCGCAGGTCAACAGGCGATCACCATTGAAATCCAGGGCAATATGTCGGCGTTACCGGACCCTAGTGTCTATTCAGGCGGCGCGTGGATCATGGTTGAGAGAGCAGAAAACATTGAAGTCACCGGCAGCGGTACAATCAACGCCCACGGCGAAGCTGCATGGCAATATGCCGACGACAATAATCATCTCGCCGTTGTAAGTACTTTAATTTAATTATCAACCTATTTTGAGTCATTTTTGACCCTCACACAAAATTAATTAATTGATTAATTATACGAAACGGCGTCGTACAGTCGTTAGTGTTTCAGGGGGTGGGGAACTGCAAGCTGAACAACCTGAACTTCGTGAACAGCATGGGGTTCCACACTAAAGTGACGGACAGTCACGACGTCACCGTCACAAACCTAACGATCACAGCCCCCGGAAAGAGCCCCAACACTGACGGCATCCACCTCAGCAACGCTACAAACGTCAACATCACCGACTCCGTCATTGGCACCGGTGATGACTGCATTTCTATTGGCCCTGGCAGCAAAAACGTCGTCGTTTCCAGAATCACTTGTGGCCCCGGCCACGGAATCAGGTTGCTAATTATTATATTTAAATTGAAATTTAAATTATTATTTTTGAACATTAATTAATAATATAAATTATACTATTAGTATTGGGAGCTTGGGGAAGCGCGTGGACGAAACAGATGTGCAAGGGATCACGGTAAGCAACTGCACCCTCATAGGAACAACCAACGGCGCAAGAATAAAAACATACCACGATTCCCCGGAGCTTACCGCTTCCAAGATTACCTTCGTAGATCTCGTGATGGATCAAGTTAAGAATCCTATTATCATCGATCAGCATTACGACTCCAAGAAAAAGCCCAAGGTACGTACATTTTTACTAAATAATTTAATTTCGTAATTAAATTATAATTTTTGGTGTGTTACGTACGTTAATTGCGTTGCATGCAGCAATCGAGCGTGAAGATAAGCGATACACACTTCATAAACATAAAAGGGAGCACAGTATCAGAAATACCAATAGTACTAAATTGCAGTTCATTAGTGCCGTGTGAAGGAATTGAATTGTCAGATATTGATCTGGTGCCCTTCGGTACATTACGCAATCTTACGTCAGCATGCTCCAACGCCCAAACTACACTTAAAGGAACTTTAAATCCAGCTGGTCCCACCCAATGTATATAGTTTTATTCTATTTGTAGACCTTTTTCTTCTAAATACAAAATGATCAGCTAATTAATTAATTTCTGTATTTGGATTTTAAAAGAAAAAAATCAAAAGAAAAATTATGAAAAAGGGAAAACAGATAGATGAAAAATGCAATGTAGGGGGGTGAGAGGTGAGCCTTAGACGTACATTTACGAGATTGGATTTATTTATTTATTTTTTTGTAAATATTAATTACCGTGGTGTGTAGTTTGAATATTGAAGTTATACTCGTGTTAACTTCATTCTTTTGAACTAATTTCATTTAGGCTGCGGCTATATGCAATACTCATTCCACTTGTGCAAGACCAAATTAAAGAAAGATTCCAAAATATTCTATTTTATTAAGATGGAATGACAAGTATGCCCATAAATTAAATTGGCTTTTTTTTTTCTCATGTAAGACCAAATATAAATAATGAGAAAAAAACAAAAATCGACACCAAGGTGTCGAAAAATTATGCTACAAATCGACACTTAAGCGTCGAATTTCATAGGTAAAAATCGACATTGACATGTCGAATTTATAGCACAAATTCAAATGTCGAATTTCATACCTCAAAATCGATATCTAAATGTCGAATTTTATACCTCAAAATCGACATCTAAATGTCGATTTTTACCTGTAAAATTCGACCTGTACATGTCGAATTCGTTTGCGCGGGATTTTTTTTGGAAAACCGATATTCTAGCTAAAAAACCCATAAATGCATACATTCTTGGGTTCTTCCATCGTAGAATCTTCTATTTTGATGTCTTCTGACTCCATACTTGTCATCTTTGTAAGATTTGTTGAGTTTTGATGATTTTGAATTTCTAGGTTTTGTGGGTTAATGGAGGAGGAAGGAGAAAGGTCTTGTGGGTTTTGGAAGATGGAGAAGATGATAGTTGATCTTGTGGTTTTGTGGTTTTGTGGTCTTGTGATAGGGTTTTTTGTGTTTTTGAATTTTTGGTCTTGCATATTTGGAATTTTTTATTTTTTTAATAAATAAGGGTATTATAGTATTTATACATTGAAAATTTTAATTTGGTCTTGCACAAGTGGAATTAGTCTTGCATATAGCCGCAGCCTTTCATTTATTATTCATTAACCGCGTAAATGTTATTATTATTATTTTTTATTTTTTAGTAAAGTGCATTAGAATATTGTCAATGAGGCTTGGCTTAAGTAAAGAACAAATTAGATGGAATGAATATTGTGTTTAATCATTTTTTCCAACTTTTCATTTAAGGTCTAACAAACTTGTGACATAATACAATCTCTTGAAAATCTTAATTTATATACACAAGTCAACAGTTTTGAACTACTACAATTGTTTACTACATTTTTCCCTCTAATTTGAAACACTTCGACGTGTTTTTATAAAGTTGGTCGATTCTTTAAGTTGCATTTGAATGAAACGATTAACAAAAAACGGAAAATGAAGGACTTTGTATAAATCGAATTTTGACCCACACTCACATTACTCGAAACGAGCAGGACCGACCAAAAGACAAGGTTATTATTGACTCGTACTTTTGATTATTCATAAAATTTATTGGTTACAAGTCTTTAAATTCTTAAAATGCTTTATTTCCTTCTTTCTTTAAATAATTTTGGATAAAAGAATTCAAAAAGGCCAATAGTATTAAACTACTATTACTCCATAAATAAATAAATAAAAACCCTAGATTTTCCCCTAAAAAATAAATTCCGCATCTATAAATTATTAATATTTATAATAATATATTAAGTAGGCGTTATAAATCAGAAACACAAAAGGGAAAATATCTGGATCGTAATTCATACGTGTGGCCTCGACTTAAACTCCATTCTATCCCTCCCCGCTGTGTATATTATCTAATTATTTCCTGCCACTATTCCAAATCCTCTCTGATTTCGATTTTTTTCCCGTACAATTAGACATTGATTCAGTTCATCTTCGGAATCGGCTTATATGAATTTGTTTCACAGCTGTAGTTTAATTTGTATTTCAGTGAGCAGTTTTCTTATGGAAACTTTGGATTAGAATGGCTTCTGCTTCTTCTTCGCCAGGTGCGTTTTCTATTTCCTTCTTTGATTTCTTCGATTATTACTTGTTATGTGTTAATTTGGTGAAATTTATGTTCTCTCTGTGTTTTTTGTTTTTTTCCGCGATTGTGCTGTTGTTCTGTTTCTATATTTTTTGAGAAGTTGTTGCTTAGTTTGGAGCTTGTTAGAAAAGTAATTGTTTCGGTCGGTGCTTGTTTTTCTATAACTTTGATTGATTTTATTTTTTCTGCCGGAATGATTGGCGGTATGAGGATGCTATATCAACTTTAATTTTGTTTTTGGAGTTAATTTTGTTGATTTTCAGAAAGTTGTTCTGTGTGTGCTTAGTGCTTACAGTTTGTTTGATTTGAGTATTTGTAATTTGAGTATTTGTTACTTTGTTTTTGAAATTTTCAGTAGTGTCCGTAGGATGTGCGAACACATTTAAGTTTCCGAAAGGGGATGTGAGTGGAAAATATGATTGCACTAGGCTCCCTTGTGCATCCAAAGCTCCAAGAGCCCTCTCCGGATTTCTCGCTAGTACTGCTCATCCTCCTCAGGCACGTGGAAGAATTCGATCAAGGAATCGCTTCCGATATGTGAGCAATTCTTTCAAGATTTTGCATATCTTGATTATCATCATTTGACTAACATTTTCATGTGCGCGTTAGATTAACTTATTATGTTTCCTTTTTCGTTTGCTAATTCATTTGAGTGAAGGTGTTGGAACAAGTACGTGGCTCAAAGCCTATTTTATGGTAGATATCGTAAGAATCTGTTAGATGTTAGAATTTATTTCCGAGAAATTTTGAAAAAGTTATCAACTATCTCACATTTGGAATCCAGTCCAGAAACCCAAACTTTGTAATTCTCATTGTATTACGACTTATTTATATTCGTATGATTTTTTTTGCTTCTCATAGAAGCTAGTTGGTTGTCTTCAGTCCCTAATTATGGCCAGCCATTCCTTAATAAATGCCAGAGATGTGAAGTCCATCATTATGGATGGTGGTGTACATATGAAGCCTCAGATTTTATTGCTCGAAAGAAGTTTTTGAGCTCAACCATCACACATTTCGATCATGACAAGTGGGAGTTGTATTGTTCCCCATCTTCTTCAGAATCTTATGACGTTTCTCCGGATAGCTTGTGGGAGGTAGGTGGATTACCACTTTTAGTCAATCTATTTGCAATATTTTAAGAAGCATATTGAGATGATAGAGACTACAATTTATATTGAATTGGATCACCAAAAAAAGATGAACTAATGATATTACGTTGTTGGTTGTTCGTGCTCGCAGGATCTTAAGCCTAGCATCTCCTATCTCTCTCCGACGGAATTGGAATTGGTCTATAGAGCGCTGAATGTAAGTTTGTATTAATCTTCATTAATAGTTTATACCATCAATTCAATCTCCTATATTGTATACCTTCATGTTTGTTATTGTCGATGTGATGTTTAAATACTTATATTTGTCATAGAACCAGCAACTGATGTAGCTCAAAACGTTGTTTATACCATTTTCTTCTACTTTCTCCCCTTTCTTTTTGATAGTTGGCTTTTGAAGCTCATGACGGTCAAAAGAGGCGTAGTGGGGAGCCCTTTATTATTCATCCAGTTGCAGTTGCTCAAATCCTTGGGGAACTTGTGAGTTATGCAGATTTTTAGAGTTTTCTCATGTTAAATAAATGCTTACAGTTGGCTTTCCTTCACAATTAGATTTCTCTTTAGCATTCTCACATGTTACATTTATGCATACTATATCTCAAGTTTCAAAAGTAACATTCCATATTTTAGGAATTGGATTGGGAGTCCATAGCTGCTGGTTTATTACATGATACTGTGGAAGATACGGATGTTACTTTTGAAAGAATAGAGGAAGAATTTGGCTCAACTGTTCGTCATATTGTGGAAGGAGAAACAAAGGTAGTTTAAATTCATTTATTTGCTCTAGAGTGAGATTTGACCATTAGGGTTTATCATGATGGGGGATATGAAGTAGGTTTAATAAAAATTTCCATCTAAGCGAACTCTCTAGTTTACAGCTCAACACTGTAATAATATGATTCATTTATGTTACTCAAGGTGTCCAAACTTGGGAAGCTTAAGGCAAACTCAAAGGGTGAGAATCATTCTGTTCAAGACGTGAAAGCAGATGACCTCCGTCAGATGTTTCTGGCCATGACCGAAGAGGTGATTTATATTTATTTAAATATACTGTGCTGATTTGTGCCTGCATACAGCCTCTGACAACAAAAATATGTGTCAGGTCCGTGTTATAATTGTCAAATTGGCTGACAGATTACATAACATGCGAACTCTTTCACACATGCCTCCGCATAAACAGGTGTGTTTTTATTTTACTTTCGTTTTGGCTAATCTGTCTACTATATTCTTTCTTACTATTATATATTGTGTACAGTCCAGCATAGCCATAGAGACATTGCAGGTTTTTGCTCCTCTGGCAAAACTGCTTGGGATCTACCAAATAAAGGTAAACTTGCACTCTAGTGTTGGTCATGTAAATATGTGACCTGAAGAAAAGTTTCTTTGACATTGACTTCACTCTGCATATGTTTTGAATCGTTAAGAAATCCCCTGAATCAATTCTGTGTACTCCAAATACTAATTTCCTGATTAATATTTTTTGTTTAATGTCCATTTCACATTTCTAACTTTGAAACTTCTATAAGATGTCTTGCATATGCCCTGGATTATATCAGGATTCATGCATGTTTTCCTGACAAATAAGTTATTTAATTTACTTTGCCACGAGATAGACCACACCCTCCCTGAGGTTTAGACCCATTTCTGTTCACACTTAAGGAGTCTCACCCATCTTATTTCTTAATTAATATCTTGAACTATGGAAGAAGTGTTCATATAAATTTTCTATCCTTTTCACCTTTAGACCAGAGTATAATCATTATCTTTGTCACTGTCTCAAATACAACTGTTGGCAGATTTCATTCTGAGCGCAGCTAAGCGGGCCATGAGAATTTTCGCTATATGCAAGTTCTGTAGTTGCATGACTAACACAGTTGAAAAAATAAATTGGGAATTTAATGCTCAATTTGAAAAAATATTTTTCGCTATGTGCAAAGCCTTTATAAATTATTTTATAATGCTCAATTTGAAAAAGTCAATTGGGAATTTAAGAAGTAATATATGATCTTTCGTTAACATGCCTTACGCGCATAGGAATTTCGAGCTGATATGTTTCTGTCTTTGATGATACAAGTCCTAGAACCTGAAACTATTTTTGACCTTGTATGTGGACTGCGTCATCTCATATAATGAAGCATTTACTGTAATTGTAATTTGCATTGTTTTGTCCTTTTCTATGAGAGTGTTATTTTAACATTTCGACTCATTTTAAATTCCTTGTTGCAGTCGGAACTCGAAAATCTGGCATTTATGTATACCAACCCTCAAGATCATGCTAATATCAAAAGAAAAGTTGCTGAACTTTACAAAGAACATGAGAAGGACCTCAAAGAGGTTATTTTGCATATTCTATAAATTTAGCGCAGTCATACACAGTTAACTATATCATTTAGCATCCGACATCATTTTGTGTGGCTAGATGCATATATCGAAATACCAAACTTTCTACTTCCATTTATTTTTAACTCGACTAGATAGTAATTTTGTCAAAAATGGTCTTTCTCATCCCATTAGGCAAATAAAATCTTGATGAAGAGGATAGAAGATGATCCGTTCTTAGACCTCATGATTCTGAAAACTGAAGTTCGTCCTGTATGTAAAGAACCTTACAGGTAAAGTTTATATATCTCTCTCTTATTTTTATGAGATTAGGTACTCAAATCTATGGAAACGCCACTGGGTAACTTTTTATTTACTTTTGTACTCCATTTTCCTTATAGTTCCACTGTTGAATCGCTTCTAATCCTTGACACCTCATCTGGGTTACACTTGATGCTATTGTTCTTTATTAAATTATTTAATGGCGCAGGGAAGATCTCTGCCATAACTATAAGTTCACTTTGTATTATATGCAGCATTCACAAAGCTGTTCTGAAATCTAAAAGCTCGATAAATGAAGTTAACCAGATCACACAGGTTTGTTGTAATGGTCGCTTTGTTACCCTGTTGATATAAATATATGTTTAACTATTTCTGAAGCATATAATTGTCTTGATCTCCAGCTTCGAATTATTATGAAACCAAAACCATGCGTTGGAGTTGGGCCTTTGTGTAGTGCACAGCAGGTGAAACTGTCATCTTATTGTATTACTCGATATGTTATCTAATTTAAATTGAACGTGCATATCTCTCTTTCAATGCAGATATGCTACCACGTGCTTGGACTGGTACATGGAATTTGGACCCCCATCCCTCGAGCTGTATGTGTTGCTCTTATGTTTCAATATTTAGACCTTTCAAGTATGTATGTATTCTCTAGCATATCAAGATATCCTTATGATTTTATTCGGCTAGCAGATGAAGGATTATATTGCCACTCCAAAGCCTAATGGTTATCAGAGTCTTCATACTACAGTGATTCCCTTTCTTTACGAGAGCATGTTTAGACTGGAAGTTCAGGTTTGTCAGTATGTTGATTGTAGTTTGTGTTGTTTATCCTCCTTATGGTCTATTTCTGGCAAATTTAGTCAGGATAAAGTAAATTTTACTTATATATTACTGTTTTTCATGTCATGTATTTATTTGTATGTGACTTTTCTTTATTTGTTTTACAATTTGTTGGCAGATAAGGACGGAAGAGATGGATTTGATTGCGGAAAGAGGGATTGCTGCCCACTATAGTGGCAAAGGTTTTGTGAATGGCTTGGTTGGACATGTTCTGCCATACAGTGGTAGCCCACAAAGGAAAACAGTCTGCCTTAACAATGCCAATGTTGCTCGCAGGGTAGAACACTTTTTTATTATTATTACAGTATCCCCGTATGTTAAAGCTCTCCCTTGAGTGTTTCTGTTACTCATCCTTGACTGCATAACTAATTTTATAAAGGAGTAATTTTTCCCTTCAGATAGGCTGGCTCAATGCAATCAGAGAATGGCAAGAGGAGTTTGTTGGAAATATGAGCTCAAGGGAATTTGTTGATACAGTCACCAGGGATCTTTTAGGCAGTCGTGTATTTGTATTTACCCCAAGGGGAGAGGTTAGAGAATTTTCATTCTCTTTTCTTTATGAAATTTAGTATATGTGCTTATTTGGTTCTGCAACATTGCCTACAGATCAAGAATCTGCCCAAGGGGGCAACTGTCGTTGATTATGCGTATATGATCCACACTGAAATTGGAAACAAAATGGTGGCTGCTAAGGTTGACTGACTGGTTATTCTTGCTTTATTATCTACTTGTGTTCATTCTTTTCAATTGTTTTCTGGAATTTCTCTGAGTGTCCTATGTATTTCTGTTGGTAGGTCAATGGCAATCTCGTTTCGCCAATGCATGTGCTTGCAAATGCTGAAGTTGTGGAGATTGTAACTTATAATGTTCGTTATTTTGACATTTCGACTTCCCTCCTTTTTTTTTTTTTTAATCTTTTATTTCTCTTCTAGAAGTCCCAACTTTTCAGATCAGCTTTATTATCCATGATAATATATATAATGCTGCTTCCTGCATGTACCTGACGCCTCTTCTGTATCAGGGGCTTTCTTGTAAATCTGCTTTCGAGAGACACAAGCAATGGTTGAGACATGCAAAGACACGTTGTGCCCGACATAAGATAATGCAGGTAGGTTTCTCTCTCTCCCTCTCCCTCTCTCTATTATATAGTCCCTCAGTTCTATTAATCTACGCTTACGTGCTTACAGTTTCTGAAGGAGCAAGCTGCACTGTCAGCAACCGAAATAACTGCCGATTCTTTGAAGGAATTTGCTGCTGAATCTCAAGAAGATAGAAAAATGGAAAAATCACTGAAGAAATCTGAAGGGGCTAAACAGACATGGGAGAAATTATTGATGAATGTCATGCAAATAGCATCTTCTAAGACAAGTGGGGAAAGTATATTTCAAACCGACAAGAGTAAGGATAAGATTCCAAAGGTTAATGGGAAACATAACAAGAATATGCATCACACAAGCTTGAAGGACAAAGGAGAGGTGCTATCTCAAGGAAATGGTGTTGCTCAGATGATTCAATCCAACATTCCTCTGTACAGGGAAGATTTACCAGGCTTAGAAGGCTGGCAATATCGTAAAATTGTGTCTTGGCACAACCTTGAAGGAAACTCTATCCAATGGCTGTCCATAGTTTGCATGGATCGTAGAGGTATTATTCAGTTTTGATTTTTAAATTACTCGAATTTTGGAAACTGACTGCATATTTTGAGTAAATAATTACATACTTTTCCTTCGATTAATTTGAAAGGTCTTGAGAATCTATTTTTCCAGACTTAACCATTCTGCAAATTAGCTATTTCGTTTTTCTAAGTTCGATGTGCTTTGGCTGTCAGGCATGATGGCGGATATTACGTCGACTCTGGCAGCTGCAGGAATCTCCATATGTTCTTGTGCTGTGAGTTGAGATTGATGATATTTGGGTTTTCATTTTCTTCTTTAAGAATTTCTTTTAACCTATTTATGTTGCCATGTGAATCGGGCAGGCTGAAATTGATCGGAACAAGGAAATTGGTATCATGCTATTTCAGGTTGAAGCAAGCTTGGATAATTTGGTATGTTACTGACATTAATGCACTGAATCTTTTGTCGTTCGTTGGTATATTAAATGGGATGCTTCTTTTTTTTCTTCCAGGCTACTGCATGTTTGAAAGTCGATCTGATTCTCGGTGTGTTGGGATGGTCAACGGGTTGCAGCTGGCTGAGCTCAACGGAGAACAACCAGCTTCTGGAGTGTTGACTTTTGGTCAAACAACTCTCAGCTACTAAAAGTTGGGATGAAATTTTGTCACCAGAGAATAGAGTTTTTTTTTTGGTGGGGGGGGGGGGGGGGGGGGGGGGAGTGTAAAAATAACACTCAACGTTTCTACATCTAGTTGTCAATTGTCATTAATTCTTTTGAAATACATAAAGCGAAAATAAAAAAATGAAAAGTAGTAGCAGATGGGATAGATGGATTGTATATAGTAAAGAGTTGTACCACAGTAGTAGCGAAAAGTGCAGTAAATACAAAATGAATGAACTATTCATACAACATATATATATATATATATATATATATATATATCGAATCTTCCTTGTAGTAGCTTTAAGAATGTCCATGGCCTGATAACTAGGTTTAGATATTTAATTGTTTTGTACTGTTTTGTTATATAAAAATCAAATAAAAAAATATTAGTTTTAAGCAACTGGCTTTATATTTAATGTAATGAAACGAGAACAAGAAATAAAGATTCATCATATAGTTCGAGTTACAGTACGCGAAAACATTTATTCAGTACTTGGGCAAAATTCTCATCCCTAATATCTAATAATTTTTCACTCTTACATGTTCGCCAATTTGCAGTCTTGCCTTGAAGTAACCATGGTTGACAAAACCACGGTCAGGAACACGACGAGGCAAAGTTCGGTAGAGGATAAGCCGAAGAACCACGAGCACGAGAGTGATGATAGCGCACAGAGTATCCCGATTAGCATTCTCTGCCTCGTCGAATAGGTACGACGATTCTTCTCCACGTACTTTTCTATAAAAGTCTCGTTTAAGCTCTTCACTTTTTGGGTTTCAGAATCCTCTCCAATGAATTGGCTGTCATCTTTTTTGATTGCTTTATCTTCTTGAATCTTACCTTCCACTTCTTGGTTTAGCAGCTCCGTTTCTCGAGGCTCCACAGTAGTCCCCTGTGGCGAATCCACAGGATAAACCGCCTCCGAGTTGGATTCCATGGAGGAATCTCCACTTCCTTCTGAGGTCTCTTCCACTTCATCAGATAACACAGTTTCATCTTCATCATAATCGATTTTTTTGATATTATCCTTGCAATTTGCTTCATCTTCGCTTGTTTCCATAATAATCAGATAATCACCTTCGCCTAGTTTTGGCTGATCAACAACAACAAACTGCATCAAAGCCTCGTTTTCATTCATTTCTGCAACAACTTTCTCGTTCGCGATTTCCTCTTTCACAACTTCAACATCTGCATGGGAAATCAGCTCTTCTTTAATCTCCTCTGCAATGTTTTCCTCATCATCATCTTCATCCTCGTTCGGTTGACTATTGACAAGCTGCATTGACTTCTCCTTCTCCTCGTTCGTCTCTATGCCTTCACCCTCTTCCTCAATTGCTCCATCGTCTTTTACAACTTCAACATCTTGGTGCAAAATCAGCTCCTCTTTAAGCATGGGCTCTTCAAATCCCCGGTTTTCGTAGGGGATTTGATCCTCTTTAACCAATTGCTCCTCAATATATTTCACTTGTTCTTCTTGACTTCCCTCATTAGCTTCATCTTCCTCTTCAACAGGCAAGGCCCTTTCTTTCTCCTTGCCATCGACATTTTCGTGTTCGATAATAACACGACTGTCAAACACAGGCACAAAAGCTTTTATCCCAGATTCACTTTGGCTTTCAGAAACACCGACGAGGGAACTATCGCTCTCACTCAATTCCAATCCAATTGCAGCTAAATCCACCTTAATGCTTTCAATGGCAATTTCTTTGTTATCGCTACAAAAATCTTTCGATTCTTGTTCCTCCATGTTCGACTTGATCTCATCAATACTTGCGTTACGTTGGACCTCAATTTGATCAATACGAACTCCCTCAACACCATTACCTTCTTGCCTTGGTTGCATCTCACCACCATCATTGGTTTCTCTTTCTTCTTCTTCTTCTTGAATACAAACTTGCTCGAGATTTTCGATTTCTTTTGAGATTTCATTAGAGACGACATCTTCATTGGTTAACGGTATTTTCTCGACTGCATCATCATCGAGAGGCAATTTGTCATCCGACAACGGAAAACCTTCATCAGTGATATCAGAGCGATCGGAAATGGCCTCAACATCATCTAATTCGTCTGTTTTTCCTCCATTGATTTCTTCAACTATGGGCTTCTGATCCTAAAAACAAGTTACACTATAAATTCATGAATCTAAATGTTTGAGATTTTCTCGATGACCAAAGAAAATAAAATCGTAAAAATAATAATCCCATATTCAAGATAAGAATCGGAAACGGAGTTACCGGTGCAGATTTCTGAATAGAAACCTTTTCAGTATCAGTATCCGGCTCAACAACCTCTGTTTTTGCTCCACCGCTGCATTTCCAGTTTCAGATTTCATTTAAAAATCCATAAATAATTCAATTACAATATGATATAAATATATTATTCTCAGGAAAAAAAAAAGATATTATACACATCTGAAGGCTGATGATCAAGAACAGCTTCATCTTGTTCATTCTGCTTTTCGACCTCAGGTGGTGGATTCTGACGGCGGTCCTTGCCGGAGCTCCGCCCAGTTCTCCCGACAACAAAAGCTGAAACCAAAGCGGCGGTGGCCAACGCGCCACCCAACAGGACAAAAGCTCCAATGCCACCACCACCAATTTTGACAACCATTTTCTTCTTGCCTTGATTATTATTAATTTCCCAAGTTTTGTTCGGCATGATCGCCATTGTTGTTAACGATCTTTGTTCTGTATCCTAGTTTGTAGTGGTGGCAGTACTGAAAACGTTTTTCTTTAAGGGGCCGGGTGATTCACATTTGTTTCATGGTGAGAGTTTGTTGTAGTATTTATTGGATCTTACGAGTTTGAAGCTGACATTTTCTTTTCTCTTTTTTTTTTTTTTTATTAATTTTATTTTGATTTTCCTTGTCTTATTTGACCATGAAATATATATTGTGAGGTTCAGAGGAGTTCAACAAATTGAAAATTTCCACGTGGCACGTAGCAGACGGAAAACTAGAATGCTTTATGAATAGCATCCTTTTCATTTATCTCTTATTTATGAACTCTTTCCTCATACTTAGCTAAGAAAATTCCAAATTTCTTGTTTTTATCGTGTGATTATTTAGATCCATTTTTACTTGACCAAACATTTTCCAACTACTTAGGCTGCAAACCTAACCTTCTATTCGTTTTGGCAACTTCTCATTTGGGGGTGCCCACCCAATTAATTCTACCAATGTCAACATTGTTTTCATTTCATTTATTGTAATTTAATGCAGCCAAATTTTAGTTACATTTGTAGAATGCTATGCATTAATGTTTAATTAGGTGCATCTGTGTCAATTAATTCAGGTTCGAATTGTGGAGCTTGACACACATAATTAGTCTAATGTGATTTATGTATCCATTTAATTTTTGGTGTGGTCCTTCAATTTTTTTGTTTTATCTATTTTTACTGTACTTATTTATAGATATCTGCTATATATAAGTACCAACTATTTTGTTTGTCAAGCCCAAGAAAAGGGTAAAGTACTCTTGGACAAGGCCCAAATATTATTTCACAAACCCATAATCTATTATAGTATTATTATTTATTATTATGTGTAAATCGAATGCCTCACAAAAGATTACAAAAAATTAATTACAAAAAAAATTTGTGATCAGAGTCAATAAGGAGAAGGGGGGATCTTCTGAGGTTGTGAACTGTAAACAAATGGGCCCACGGAGTACAGCCTGGCGCCATTAACGGCTCGATAAGCCGAAATCGGCGCGCCGGTGGAACCCTTGTTGACGTCGGTGGGGAAGGGGCAAGTCTTGAGGAACGGTGCGCTGTGGAGGAAGGCTTTGCATTTGGAGATTTTGACGCCGTCACCGTCACCGTTACCGTCATTTTCCAGAAGGGGCTGAGACGACAGCTTCGTTAGGAAGTAGCCGTTACCGTCAGTTGGTTTGGTCAAGACGGAAAAAGGAGCCGTTTCGTAGCCGTACTTGTCGATTCCCAGGCATGCTATTCTTATCACCCCACCTGCATGCATCAATTGTAATAATTACTTATTCGTACGAACTTCTTTTAAATGAAATATATTTGTATATATGTATGTATGTATGTATGTATATATGAATTATACCTTTGAGTGGGGAGAGTTTGTTGGAAGAAGATTTGCAGTAGACAATGCCCTGTACGCTAAATTGTGGTGGCATAATATCTTTGTTGGTATTCTTGTACGCACCTTTGTTTGGATCCTTTGAGTACCCATAACCGCTGGCCGAATCTACTACAACATAAATTACAGACAATATAAAAACCAGATTTCTTAAACAACAATTCATTTTGCCCATTCCAAATTCTAGATCGTTCGTTTTCATTCACTTCCACCACGTTTTGTAGATATATATATATATGGCAATTTTTATTTTTATTAGTGCAACTAGTTTTTATCTGATACTCGTTTTGGTTAAGTACTCGGCAGCACGTTTTTTTTTTTTTGTCAAGTGATGAGGAAAATGGGGCAGCACTTATTTTCCATTAGAAGTATAACTTCAGAGAGATTTGATTAATTGCTACTATTAGTAGGATTATTGGATTAAAGAAAATTGTCTTAGTTAATTTCCTATTAAAAAAAGGAAAAAAGAAAAAAAAAATTGGTTTAGTCAATTAGGCCATGAATATATACTAATGTGGCCTCAATTGTCTACGTTATTGGGCTTATTTTTTGACCCAAAACTTTTTGAGTATAGTTGGTGTAAGAACTTTATGGCCCAATATGATTGTGTGAAGTAGAATAGTCCGCAATGTGACACGGAAACTTCAGGACCATAACGTTTTCATGTTTCGGACACATTTCGTGTACTAAACTCAATGACACATATCGGATACTTTATGGGTCATTTTGCAATTTCTAAAAAGTTGAAAACATGTTTGTATAGCCATTTTAATTTTTTTCCCCTAATTATTTACGTGGTTTAATGATCAATTGTAAGGTGATATTTGATCAAAATAAATAAAAACTTATATATGTTTATATAATATGTTTATAAATATATCCTTATACTTTTAATATTTACATGTTTCTCCAAACTCTCGTATCGTGTCAATATTTCCATTTCTCTGTGTCGCCGTTTCCTATCTGTGCTACATAGATAATCGGTCTATGAAGTTTATCTCATTTTTTATTTTATTTATTTATCAGAAAACTTTATCACATATTTCACCTAATACGATTATGACACATCACATATGGTCACGTGTAGTATTGGTTAAAATAATATTTTATACATATTTGCAATATAAATAAATATACAATTACAAAAACATTAAACAAACAAATCAACACTGATAACTTTCAAAAGCTAGCTATATATAGGCCTTAGCTTTGGTCAAAGAACACAAAAGATTTGAGCTCTAGGTAAACACCGCGAAACCGAGTTTTGTGCTCTACTCTATATATATATACTGCAAAACTTAACCTTCTCTTCCAATCTTCTCCATCTCTAAATTACTGAATCATTTTCTCTATTTAATTTATTGCTTTCTAGTTTCTTCTTTATATTTTATTGATCATAAATATCCTTTATTGAAGCCGTAAATAAAAAAATAATAATAATAATAATAATGTGTGGCGGTGCAATCCTCGCCGGCCTCATTCCCCGCCGCGGCGGCGTCTCCTCCGATGTCTTCTGGCCTACTGTTTTCAGCGCCTCCGACGAAAATCCTACGCCGCCTCCTCCCAAAAAATCCCGATTTTGTACTGGTAATTAACTAATCGCGAATTTCTGGTTTTGTTCTAAATTAATTCATGTGATTTGTTGCTATATACCTGACTGGGGCATTTATACATACAGTTGGTGGGCATGCTGCAAAAGGTGGTGTTGCTAAGAAGAAGCAGCGGAAAAACCTGTACAGGGGAATAAGGCAGAGGCCGTGGGGCAAATGGGCAGCTGAGATCCGTGACCCGGGCAAAGGCGTTCGTGTTTGGCTGGGCACGTACAACACTGCTGAAGAAGCTGCCCGGGCTTACGACAGAGAAGCCCGCAAAATCAGGGGCAAAAAGGCCAAAGTCAATTTTCCCAACGAGGAACAATATGATTATGACAATTACAGCTGTCACTACAATATTCCCAATCCTGCAAAACGCTGTCGTGTTGAGGAGGATTATAATGAATTCAATCAGTTGGGATTCGAAATGTATGATGATGATAAGTTTTTTTATTCTGTGAATAATGAGGGTGAAGTAAAGCCTGACGTGGACGGCGGTGGTGGTGGTGATTCTAAAGAGGCGGTGGTTGAATTTAAGGCGGCGGAGGATGAAGTGCAGAAGCTGTCGGAGGAGCTGATGGCTTTTGAGAACTACATGGACTTCTATCAGATTCCGTATCTCGACGGACAGTCGTCTGCGCCGACTAATCCGCCACCGGAGACGGTTGAACTCTGGAGCTTTGACGATGTCTCCGATTAATTAATTAACTCTAGCGTTTTAATTATTGATTATTAAATTTTAGGAGTTGCGGTGATAAATAATGTTTTAGTATTTCTAATTTTCTTTCGAATAAATGTTTTTAGATTTTTAATATATGTTTAATTATTAATAAATGTAATTGCATTTTCCCCTTCCGATGGTTGTGATATATTCGTTAAATTTAGCTGCATATTTTTGTTATAATGCTCGGATTCTAGCTTATTTTAAAGACATGCAAGCAATTATTGGACATTATAAAAAATAAATACTTGAGAAAATACTCCCATTATCTTGGTACATGTACTATTAAAAATTAATATATAATACAAAATAGCTTTCTCTTTTATTTATGGGTAAATAGCACTTAACCGCCTTGTGGTTTGAACATTTTGTACATGACCCCCTTGTGGTATGAAATTAGGCACTTAACCCCCTTGTGGTTTTGAAGTTTTGCACATGGTCCCCTTATTGTATGAAATTAGGCACATAACCCCCTTGTGGTTTTAACATTTTGCACATGACCCCCTTATGTTATGAAATTAGCACATAACCCCCTTGAATAGAAAAGGGGAAAAGACTAAATTACCCCTATCAATTGTTTTAATTTAAAAATAATTATTCTATAAAATGAAAAGCTTAATGTGTTTCGAGAAATTATAATATATTATTCTATAGTACAAAAAATAATAATATATTATATTTCTCATTTTTTTTGAATTTTACCGCACATATATTTTTTTAATTTAATTTAATTTTCATTTCATTTTTGGAGAAATACTTTTTTTAGATTTTTCCAAAAGAATAAAAAAAATAAAGACTTTGTTTTTAAAAAAAAATTAAAGTTTGAAAACAACTATAATATAATATATTATATAGAAAATAGTAATATAATAATCATAATTAATGATAATATTAAAGATTTTCAAATTGATTTCTAAAATTGAATAAACTTTAGGGGTAATTTAGTCTTTTCCAGTTTTCTATTCAAGGGGGTTATGTGCTAATTTTATACCATAAGGGGGTCATGTGCAAAATGTCAAAACCACAAGGGGGTTATGTGCCTAATTTAATACCATAAGGGGTTCATGTGCAAAATGTCAAAGCCATAAGGGGGTTATGTGCTTAATTTCATACCAGAAGGGGGTCATGTGCAAAATGTTCAAACCACAAGGGGGTTAAGTGTTATTTACCCTTTATTTATTTTATTGGAGAATTATTAAATAAAATAAAATAAAATAAATGGTAAAAGATAAAGATAAAAAGGAGCGCGTAATGTGTAGTTGTTGGTGTGCATGGAAAATCTGATGCGGGTGAGGTGTTCTCCAAAGATAGGCAGTGCAATACCACGTGCGTTGCTGGTTAATCTCTCAAACCGGCGCCCACTGATTTTATAATTGTACTCTTTGTACTACGCATAACATATTAGGGCTGTACTCCTCTCTCTCTCTCTCTCTCTCTCTCTCTCTCTCTCTCTCTATTTTATAACTTCATCTTTAAAAAATGATTTTTTTTTAGTGACTTGCAATAAATATTTCCAAAATATATTTAAAAAAAACATTTTATACATATAAATATTAGAGAAATATGTATAATATGACTAAAATATTTTTTTCTACTAAATTTCTTTTCGTTAATTGTTTATTTTGCTTGTGAAAATTAATGAGGCAAAATTGAAAATTTAATAATTAGAATATTGAAATTTTAGAGCTATATAATATAAAGGGTAAATTCCACTTTACCCCCTCGTACTCTGTCTGAGAGTCACTTTACCCCCTCGTACTCTCGATTTTATCGATTTACCCCATTGTACTTGTACAATTTCCCAATACAGCCCTTTCCTTCAATTTTTGTCAATTTTGACTCTAACGCCATTTGGTCAACTCTGTAAATTACAAAATTGCCACTGCCTATAACGCGTCGTTTCTCCTCCGTCAATATTGTTATTTCTTCTTCTCCCACCACTTCTCCTTCCAAGATATCCCCAAATTGAGCCCGTAACTTTGTAAAAATCAAGACCCAAAAATTGATCGATTCCACCCAGTGCAAAGAAAAAAAATATATGAATGTGTGAAACTTTCACTTTTCTAATCTCGAGGGTCAAATCGAAAAAAATCAATATTTACGTCAATATTTTGACTCTTGGCCAAATGGCGTCAGAGTTAAAATCGAAAAAAGTTGACGAAGAGGGTTGTATTGGGAAATTGTACAAGTACAAGGGGGTAAATCGACGAAATTAAGAGTACGAGGGGGTAAAGTGGTTCTTGGGCAGAGTACGAGGGGGTAAAGTGGAATTTACCCTAATATAAAACAATAAATTTTCTTAATTTGAAATAGAGGGAGCATCATTTTAAATGGGCTTTTCTGTGACATGAAAAAGAGATTACATATTATATTAAATACCTTGGTCCAATAAATTTTAAATGGGCTAGTACCACTTTTCGGCCTGCGAAACTCCACAAAAAGGACTGTCCAAAAGCCCACTATTATAATGAGTGGTTTCTTAATTGAATTCCCAAGCCACAAATTGCATATTTGATCATTTTCCTTGGACGTAGTGCATGCATATACACGGTTGTAGTGAATTTTTCCATTACAAAAATAAAATAAAAAATAATAATAATAAATAAAATAAATATATATACATAAAGATGTCATCACGATGAAATGACGTCAGAAACATAAACAGAAGCTGGCAAAAAGACGAAGTGATGATGTAGGGCAGTAAATTGAAATTCAAATAACAGTCAAAGCAAGTAACCTAATTTTCAAACCCATTACGCGTACGTTAGCTGAATATATGTAGTACGCACCGAATTCATAATAACTCCATCCATATCTTCTGACTGTATAAATAGCAAACCGCCATTTACACCACACCACCTTATTTAATTTTTTCCCTCCAATTTCCAATGCTTTTTTTCTCTGTCATTTTCTCCATGCTTACAAAATCCGCCATTAATTCTCTACATTTAACTCCAAATCTAATATCCCATTTTCCTATACCTGAAAAGAAGAAATTATCTCGTGCAATAAATGAAATTATCTAATCCAAATATCATTTTGTTTAGTGATATAGCACAGTTAATGAAATTCACCTCAGAATAATATAGTTAAACTTCTATAAATTAATACAGTCGAAACTAGAGAAATTCTATTAATTTAGCGAATAATTATATTATCGAGAGAGACTATTATTTATCACGTTAATTTAACACGTTTTAACAGAGATAGGATCGAAAGAGACTATTATTTATCGAGCATTAATTTTACGAGGTCCATAATTAATTGTAGTATGAACTTGTTCCTCGGATATCGAAGAAGTTAGTTAGAAAATGTCTGAATAGCTACAGCTTTAGCAGACATCACATTTAAATACAGAGCATATATATGTATATACTTTCCAGTTGTCAGAAACTTATTAAGAACCAGCTATTGCCATATAATGAAACAAATTTGTGATAAGATTGAAATTTATTACCGCTACACTTTGTCCGAAAGAAAGCACGATTCCCTGGGCTAAAAGAAACAACTCTCACACCTTCGCCACCTTCGCATGGAAGAAAATATGGGACTCTCTCTCTCTCTCTCTCTCTAGCTTTCTCTCTCTAGCTCTCTCTCTCTCTCTCTCTCTCTCTCATTCGTCATGCAAATCTCGTACTCCTATTTCTGGCCTTACTTTTTAACCTTTTTCCTACAATATTTATGACTTTCGCATTTGTCTCTCTCTATATATAATCCCCATTTAATTTTACATATATCTATATCATAAATTCATAATTCATATACCATCTTCACATCATATCATATATAAATCCTTTTTGTGGTCTCTCTAAATCCTCCCTCAAATCCAAATAATGGGTAGTTTGGGGGCTTTTTTCTTGCTGTTTTTTTTGTGTTCATCGCTTGTTTACTGTGAAATTAACGATGCCGGCGGTACTGAAGAAAATCTTCAGACCACCTTCATTGTAAGAGTCCAAAATGATTTGAAACCATCTGCTTTTTCCGACGTCGAAAAATGGTACAAGTCAACCCTTCGAAGCCTTGACTCCAACACTCTAAACTCTGAAAATCCATCTGATGATCAAACGCAGAATTCCCATGAATTTCTGCATGTTTATCGCACAGTTTTTCATGGGTTTTCTGCTAGATTAACCCCACAACAAGCCCAACTACTGTTGAACCGGCCGGAGGTTATCTCCGTTTTGCCGGACCGTCTTCGACAGTTACACATAACTCGTTCGCCCTACTTTCTAGGGTTATCGTCTGATAACCCGACCGGGTTGATGTCGGAATCGGATTCCGGGTCGAATGTTGTCATCGGTATTTTAGACACCGGAATTTGGCCGGAGCGTCTTAGTTTCCACGATCAAGGTCTGGATCCGGTGCCTTCTACTTGGAAAGGCGAGTGTTCCGAAGGAGTGAATTTCACCAAAGCTCACTGCAATAAGAAACTCATCGGCGCTCGCTATTTCTCCGCCGGGTACGAAGCTCGAAAGGGGGTGGTTAATTCGTCGGAGGAATTTCACTCGGCGAGGGACTCCGACGGACATGGGACCCACACTGCGTCAACCGCTGCCGGTAGAGCGGTTGCCAACGCCTCCCTTTTCGGCTACGCTAGCGGCGTCGCTGTCGGGGTTGCTCCCAAGGCGCGGATTGCAGTTTACAAGATTTGCTGGAAAAACGGGTGCATGGACTCCGATATACTCGCCGCATTCGATAAGGCGGTGGAGGACGGCGTGAATGTCATTTCAATCTCCGTCGGCGGCGGTGCTGTACCGTACAATCTAGATCCGATGGCAATCGGGGCATTTGGTGCGATGGAGAGGGGTATTTTGGTCTCGGCGTCTGCTGGGAACGAGGGTCCCACTAAAATGACGGTGACGAATGTTGCTCCGTGGATGACGACTGTTGGCGCTAGCACAATCGATAGAAAATTCGTTGCTGATCTTGTGCTTGGAGACGGGCGCGTGATTAGCGGCGCGTCCCTCTACAGCGGCAAGCCTTTGCCTGAAAAGACCTATCTGCCCTTGATATACGGCGGTAACGCCTCCGCAAGCTGGGGCTTCGGCGGCATACGCGCCGGAAGTTTCTCCGCCTCCACCTGCATAGCCGGCTCTTTGGACGAAAACTCCGTTCGTGGCAAAATCGTGGTGTGCGATCGCGGCGGCAACGCGCGTGTCGCGAAAGGAGATGTTGTCAGAAAAGCCGGCGGCGCCGGCGTGGTGGTGGCGAACGTGGCCCCAATCGGCGAAGGACTCGTCGCCGACTCCCATCTGATCCCCGGCCTCGCCATCTCCGAATCCGCCGCCCGCACGTTACGCCAATACATCAATTCGAATCCAAATCCAAGGGCAACAATGGTGTTCCGCGGCACGCAGGTTGGGATAAAACCGGCGCCGGTGGTGGCATCCTTCTCCGCCAGAGGACCGAGCGTCGAGTCACCGTACGTGCTGAAGCCGGACATCATAGCGCCAGGTGTCAACATCCTAGCGGCTTGGCCAGACGGCGTGGCGCCGAGCGAGATCGCCTCCGACACGCGGCGCACGCAGTTCAACGTGGCTTCAGGCACATCGATGTCGTGCCCACACGTCTCCGGCGTGGCGGCTCTACTGAAAGGGGCCCACCCCGACTGGTCACCGGCTATGATCCGGTCAGCGATGATGACCACCGCCTACAGCCAAGACAGCCAAGGCAAACCCTTACTCGATGAAAAATCATACAATCAATCCACCATTTGGGATATGGGCGCAGGACACGTGGACCCGGAGAAAGCCGTTGATCCAGGACTTGTTTACGATCTGACGGCTGACGATTACTTGAATTTTCTCTGCGCCTCAAATTTTACCCGCCAGGAAATAAGGCACATTGCTAGGAGATCAATCAGTTGTAGTAGAAAGCAATCGAAGCCGTGGGATCTGAATTACCCGGCGATCTCCATTGATTTTGAGGCATCGGAAACAATGTCGGCTAACGAGATTGTGGTCTCCAGAACTGTGACGTATGTTGGTGAAAGTGCGGGTAGCTTTAGCGCGACGGTGAATAATCCGAAAGGGGTAACTTTGACGGTAAATCCGATGAAATTGGATTTTACGGCGAAAGGTGAGAAGAAAAGTTACAGCGTGGGGATAAAGGCGGAGAAGCTGAAGGTGACACCGGGGAATACTGTAACGGAGGTGGGGAGGATAGTTTGGTCGGATGGACGGAGGAAGGTGGTGTCTCCGGTGGTGGTGATGTGGAAGCAGGGGTACTGATGACGTCATCTTATCGGTAGTGTGATGCAATTGTGCACAAGTAGTTGGTGTTGTCTCTGTAGCACTAGATTTTAAGAAGTAGTTGTCTATGTTATGGAGATTGCGATGGTGGTATAAGATAAAAATGCAGTGGCACTTGTAATCTGCTAATTATAAATCTTTTTCCGTAAGCTAGTTTCAGTAATATTTATTTATTGGCAATGATTAATGATTATTATGGAAGCAAATTTTTTTTGATACAAGTTATGAAAATAGTAGTTGGCTTTGGTTACGGATGAAAATTGGAATTGAATTTTTGAATTATCGGATGGGAAATCACAATTTTAAATGAACTTTTCCATTCCAAAATTTTCAAATTCCTATTTTAATTTTTCTTTCCAATTTTTATGTTTTGGAAGAACATGATTGAAATTTGTCTACTCAAATTTTTCAACAATGCAAATTTTGATTTGATTCCTTCAATTTCGACTAATCGAACTCAATCTTCTAGTGCTAGATTTTAATTAATTATGCATAGGAATTAGTTTGTTATGTCATACGTTTACTAAAAGGTGTCTCTATTTATCAACACCTATTTAGAAAATCATTAAAAGCAATTATGCATAGAAATAATATGGATAGAACCAATGTTGTTAGAACCGGATGGACCAGTCGGTCGGACCGGTCTGCCCGTGATCATGCAGTAAAGCGGTTCGGTTTGACATTTAAAACCGACAAAATTAAAAATTGGGGTCAAATGCCCAAAATTCGGTATGACCGGGTAAACCGGAGAACCGACGAGTCGGTCAAGGAACATGATTTTCGGTCAAAACGTCTTGAATCACCACTGAGTTGGTTGTTTGTGGCTAGATTTGAGCGAACTTTCACAGACATAGGTGGGTGACCTGATCTAGTTATGACTGGTCGAAGGATTGTCGGATATGATCATGGGTGATCAAATAGAGTGGTCAATTACCGGATTTGAAGAATAAAAAATGGAAACATATAGTATAAGCACATAAAAATGAAAATAACAAGTGAGAGATTGAAAATATAAATAAATAATATTTTTAAAATATTAAAATAATAAAATAATGGCATATTAAAAAAATCAAAAATCCGATTGAACCGATTGGACCATATAAACTAATGACCTAAATGGTCGTCCGATTCGGAAAACACTGGATAAAACTTCTAAAATGAAGTATAAGTGACTTTAGAAAATAATTAAAAGTTTATAAAAAAAAATAATAATTAAAAGCAATATATTGAAGCCCACGATGAGAAGCTATTAAACCCAACAACACAAATATTCTGCAAATAACGGCGAAAACCCAATAAGTAAAGGCCCAAACGGAGAAGCCCTTTTCATAAACCCTAGTGCGCCTCGTATCATAATATCCACTCAGCCACCACACTTCATCTCTCATTTACCCCGTTGAGAGAGAGAGAGAGGAGAGAGAGAGGAAAAATGGTGTCGCTCAAGCTGCAGAAACGGCTCGCCGCCAGCGTACTGAAGTGCGGCAAGGGGAAGGTTTGGCTTGATCCTAATGAAGGCAGTGAAATCTCCATGGCTAACTCTCGTAAGCTCTATTCTCCACTTTTTCCTCGCTTAATCATTTTTCGAAATTCTAAGATCTCTCTCTTTTGGTTCGATTGACGGAGCTTTTTTTGCCGTGTTTGTGTAAAAAGGATTATTAGTTTTAGATTTATATATTAGTTACTGATTTTAGTCGTTTCCATGAGTTCGAATTTATCTGACCACAGCATAACTGATAATTGTTTTGTTGACTGTTAATTTCAGCTTCAGTATTGTTTTTTAAATGAATTATACTTAACTTGTTGTTTGGAAATGCAATTGATTGTAAAAAAATATAGCGTTGATAAGTATGTTGCCTTCTGAAATGGTGTTGTTATATTAATGGTTAGACTACTCTGGTTCAAATGTCTACGCCAGAGAGAGAGGGAGAGAGAAATTAGTTTCAGGAGCTTTTATTAGAAGGGATTTTGATTATTTTGGGAATGAGCTGTGGTGCAGTATATCTAAAATACAAAGTCAGCCTAGTCTGTTTACACTGATGTTTGCACCTAGGATTCATTTCATGATGATTTCTTAATATGGTTGGAAATCGGTGGCATACTCCAATAATCTGAATTGTGTTGATGTGAGATGATTATTTATATTCTATATTATTTATATTGGATGCAGGACATAACATTAGGAGGTTGGTCAAGGATGGTTTCATCATCAGGAAGCCAACCAAGATTCACTCCCGCTCACGCGCCCGTAGGATGAAGGAGGCGAAGAGAAAGGGACGTCACTCTGGATATGGTATTGTTTTCCTAATTTTTGGACTGCTAAATGTGTTTGTTGTGTTGTATTGTATTAGTGTGGCATGTGACTCACCTTTTGCTTGGATCCTGTTTTTGATGATGGCCGTAGTTTGTGGTTTGTTTGTTTGGTTATATATGGTTTTGAACTCACACAAAATAGATGGCATGATCATCCATGCCATTGTTTGATGTGCTAATTTGAACTGTGGTGGCTTTTTATATATAGTCTGTTGGAGAATTACATGTTCCTTTTGTGCAGATGACTAATTATCCAATGCTATTCTTTTATGAATCTATCTATGTTTCTTTAAAATTATATACTAGGATTGAGATTATTGTTATTGCTTATATGCTAGCCTCTTTGTGCTTTGATTAAATTAGCCGCTGAGTCCCTGTTGTAAAAACAATATCCTTATTTTCCAGTATTCTTTGTAAATGATATCAGGTAAGAGAAAGGGAACCAGAGAGGCAAGGTTGCCCACCAAAGTGCTTTGGATGAGGAGAATGAGGGTGCTCAGGCGCTTGCTCCGCAAGTATCGCGAGTCGAAGAAGATTGACAAGCACATGTACCATGACATGTACATGAAGGTCAAGGGTAATGTTTTCAAGAACAAGCGTGTGTTGATGGAGAGTATTCACAAGTCCAAGGCTGAGAAGGCTAGGGAAAAGACCTTGTCCGACCAGTTTGAGGCCAAGAGAGCAAAGAACAAGGCTAGCAGGGAAAGAAAGTTTGCAAGGAGAGAGGAAAGACTTGCTCAGGTAAATATTTCTCCTGCTCCAATTTCAAAAAAAAAAAATCCCAATTTTCCTATCTTTGAAACATTTATGTTTTATATATGTTTATGTGAATGTCCATTGACTTGAATACTTTTTCATATGTATTTTATATAAGTTTGATTTCTTTGTACTATTATAGGGACCTGGAGAAAAAGTAGCACCAACTCCAACTCCTGCACCTGCAGCTCAGCCAGCTCAGTAAGTGACTCTTATTGTTATAGTAACTCGTTATTTCTGATTGAAGATAATAATCTAAGTATTGATGAAATCATTTCTGGTGCAGGGCCACCAAGAAGGCTAAGAAGTGATCAATGAGTACCAGTTTCCCTTATTGGTTCTCTTGTGGTTTTGTTAGAATTGCCTTCTAGGTTTATTTATATTTTTCTTCTGTGTTGTCATTAGCACATAACCTTGTTTTTTTAATTGAAGTACTTTTTGAATGACTCCTATGTTTTTTGGTTATAGTACTTGTTCGTTGCAAGTTGAATTTTGTATGTCTTCGAATTTGCCTTGACTATTTTCCTTGTCCGAAAGATATCTGTCTTTAATTTACTTGCGCGTGGAAGTTTACGCGTGCTATTCTACTGAATCATGGATTGTATATTGCCTTTTTGTTTTTTGTATGTTGATTAATATTTCTGTTGCATCTTTTTTTTTTTTTTCTTTTTTTATCTTCTGTTATTTATTACCAAATTCATATATGATATTGTGGTATGCTCTTTTATTGATTTCAAAAAGTTCTTAAATGTATCTTGAGATTTTCATCCAATTAATATGTTTGATGAGATTCAAAAGAAAAACAATTTTAACAATTTCAAAAATCACTTTACTGAACATGGTTTGACAGAGGAAGTAATAATTATTTGTTTATAAAATAAAAATATTTCTATCTTTCTGGACATTTTTTAGCTCCCGTTTTAATATATAGACAAACATTATTCTAATTTTCGAATTATTTTCTCTAAATGCAATGAAAACAAGTCCTGAAATATTGATGTTAGACGATGTAAATACGGTTACAATCTTCTTTGCCTACTCTGTAACCACTCATTTCTGTTTCACGTCACTCATTCCTCTCACCTCTCCCATGAATTGTGAATTTTGAATGATATTTAACACAATCTCTTTACATAATAACAATGTGGATAGTAAATGCGTTGGTCGTCACACAGTGCCGACGCAAGAGAAACTGGACTAGGATATTGCCTTCCTATCAACGCTCGACATACCTAACTTGCCTTAGAATATTTTTACCTAACCTTACTGGTGAAACCTTTGTCATGTCTCGACTAGTATGTAAACGCTGGTTATTGTCCATTATCTATATATATATGTTTACATAAATAGTTATACCTCGCCATTTAAGGAGGACTCATCTCGTAATTATTATTATTATTGCATATGCCAAGTTTGACGACGAATATGAATGTGCTTCCCTTGCCCAGGCCTTCACTCTCGATCCAGATATGCCCTCCCATCAGATTCACAAATCTGAATGGATCAACAATTTGCAGTAAAATTACACACAAACACAAAAATACCAAAAGGAAAAAAAAAGGCAGAAGTGTTTGGATCGGTACCTTTTGCAGATGGGAAGGCCGAGACCTGGACCACCTCTGTTTCGGTTTGAAGAGTTTCTCGACTCAGCAAATCTGGTGAATAGACGTGGAATATCGATCGGGTTGACACCACAGCCAGAGTCTCTTACCTGCATTCAGATTATTTTGGAGCCATCAGGTATCATTTTTAGACAAGTGATTAGATTTAGAGATTATCGAGATAGAAATTGAAGGTAAATAATTTATCAAACAATGTGATGTTTGAAAAAATAAATCAAAATGAACAAGTATAGAACCAGAAACACTTTTTTACGGAGGAGGGATAAAAATCTAAGAATCACTTTTTGAATAATCAACTTTTCCGTAAAAAATACCTGTACTCGCAAGTAGAAGTGGCCATCGGACGAGGGTGGATAAAATTCAGAAGGCTGCCAGCCTCTAAGATACTCGGGTTTTGCAACAGAAACTTCAATTCCAACATACCCCTCCTTTGTGAACTTAATAGCATTACCCGCAATTATCAATATGATTTGCAACAGCCATTTTTCGTCACCAATGGCATAAACAGGTACATCCAGAGCCAATGCTAATGTCAAAGACAACTTCTTCACAGATGCAATAGGTTTTATCAAGTTCACAACCTACAATTCAAGAATCATATGTTTCTTATCTTCTCTTCTAAAATAAAAACAGACACAATAATGAATATATATGTGTTTGTGTAGGTTTACCTCTCTGAAAGCTGCTTGAAGATTAAAAGTTTCGGCTTCCAATGTAAGGCTGCCATCTTCAAGTCTTGAAAGATCTAGGACATCGTTTGTGAGTGTTGCAAGAACATTGCTACTCTTAAGTACTGTCTCTATCATAACCCTTTGTTCTGGAGTTAGCTCACTCTCTAAGAGAACCGAACACAGAGATATAATCCCATGCATTGGCGTTCTCATCTCATGATTCATCACAGCCAAAAAGTCATTTCGAGCGCGTATAGCTACCTCGGCTTCTTGCCGAGCTAAATCCAGAGCTAAATTCTGCTGCATCAGCTGATCGTGGGCCCTCGTCGATTCTTCCAAAATCGCAGCATGCGAAAGTGCCACCGCCACCTATAAAAATATTGTTAGATCTAAACAAATCCCAAAAAATAAAAAAAATATACTAATCCGAATAATTTGAAGCTAAATTCAACAGACCTGGTCGACAACAACTTCAACAAGTTCAAGCTCATGGTCCCGCCATTTTCTTATACCGTTGAGAACAAGAACCATCACAGCATAGCTTTTGGCTGAAAGTTCAGGCCAGTTATTAATATGGAAATCGGAAAGGTGTAAGAGTGGTACTCTAACAGCAACAACTTCGGGAGAAACATATCTGCCTGGAAGAGGCCTAACACTCGCTAACGGGCATGTATACGGAATTCTGATTGCTTCATTACTACCAAAGACTTCGTTCACTATAGGAAGATTTATAGGCACAGTGGATCCAACAGGTATCAAATTGCTCAGAGTATGTGATAGTTGCAGAGTCAAACCTCTTTGTGAAGGCATCCACAATGCACATTCTTCTAACTCTAAGGTTCTTCCGAGCTCAACGAGGGTAGTTCGTAATATCGTGTGCCGATCGAGCGTGCTTCTGATTTCATGAGTCAGCATTCGGACATGCCTGCTGGTTTCTTCTTGTTTTATAATGAGTCCCATTTCTCTGTCCAATTCTTCAGCCTTGTTTCTCAGAAACGATTCACGTGTTTTCACGCTGAGCAGATCGGGAATAATGTGGATAAGCATTAATGCTGTCACGCACGATACAGCAGCTGTGGAGATCTTTGCTACAGCCATTACTACCGCAACGGTTCTTGTGTGGAGAGAGAATGTCCACAGGCTGATAAGGTGGGTTGCTCCACAGAGGATAATGAAAGCACCAAACTGTATTAGCACCCATCGATAGGGAAAGAAGGCAGCCCTTTGAACGAAGTAGATAAGCTCCAACGGAATGGAGAAGTACGCAACCGCGATAAGCAAATCTGATATGTACTGATATTTCATCAGGAGTTCATCGGCCGGCCAGTGCGTCTCAACGCATTCACAGGACTCCATTTGAAGAATCTGAAAGAAAATACATAGCCATCACAAAATCATAAACGACGAACTTTTTTTTGGTTGCGTACGGTAGAAATAATTGTTGGAATCAAACAATACACAAGAGAAGCAAGCAAGCAACCAATCAATAGAAGTAATTCCCCCAATGTTCATAACAAATATTGGTAAAAGTGATTTCGTTGAAAAATGAATTTGTGCACAAGGAATTCAAGTCCCAAAATATTCAGAAATTTGACTGAAAAAATGCTATACTAAGTTACTAACTGAACTGTACCAGAGAAATAGTGAAACAAACAGGCAATTTTCTTCGTTTATTTCTCAAATAAGCAGAGATGATAACACTCTTAACAGGATCTAACGAGTAAAAGTCACTAAGTACTAAAACATCGAATCAATTTAATTAATCAGTTGCAAGTATCGAAATTAAGCAGAAATACACGCATTATCCTGAATGCATACAGACTCGGACAAAAAAAAAATCTAAAAAAAAAATTGGAAAAATTACCCGATCAAAAAGTTGCATTATGCGAATTTAAAGCTCCGTTCTGCAAATCTGCTTCAAATGCAGTACTTCAAATTCACTTTCGATTCAATCTTACTTTTCATGAGAAAAAAAAAAAAAAGCGTTGGGGATTTTTTGGGAGACTGCACTAAAGTGGAGGGAAAGAGAGAAAGAAAGAAGCCTTTGAGCAGTCAGTTCACGGGGGCAATAAAAGCGATACACGCAGGTTCAATGAACGGGGGCAACGCACGTGCGAAGACTGCTTTGGATCCCTTCAACTCGCACGTGCGTAAGTATCGTCTGATTGGCCGTGAGAACGTAAATAAGGCGCGAATAATAATTTTATGTAAAAACTTCTCGAAGTAGGTAGAGAATAGCATATAGTATTGGTTAGTAGACCCATCCTTTTATGATTTTCCAATCCAGATGACACACACAGTTGACCATATTAATTTCACTAATTATTTTACTGCACATTGTTATAGTTTGGGCTCAAGCGGATTAACCATTCTTCTTCATCCATATATATAGTAGTGTTTTAAAAATCGTCTGAGGCGGCCTTAATCGATCTCCGAGGCGGAGGCGGTCAAAAATCTTTAGGATTTTAGTGTAAAAGTTTGAAAATTCAGTTTTTTGCTTGTGAGGCGGTTTTAGGCGGTCTGATGCGGTCCGAGACGGTTTGAGGCGGTCAAACCTATATGGCGGGTCAAACTTCGGTGGCAAAAATCGGCAAAAAATCGGTTAAAAATCGGTTTTTTTTTAATAATTCAAAATAAAAGTTGGAATTTTAATAAACAAACTATGTTGTGTTTTATTTTGTTTATGTTAACTGTTATTGTTAAAAAAATAATAATACATTGTATGCTATGAATGTTCAAGAATAAATGTAAATTCAAAAAAATTGCCTTCTTATTTATATTTTATAAGGATATTTATGTATTATTATCTTATTATTATTAAACCTTTATTATTTTATCAGGATATATACATGATGGAGAATAACTATGTTTAAATATCTTTTTATATATGTTTTGAGTATTTATAAATAATATGTAGAAATATATTATATTAAATTTTTAAAATCGATTTATTTCTGATTTATCACCGATTAATCACCGCCGCACCGATTAATCGTGTATCGATCTCTGACCGCCTCCGACCCGATTACCGCTTTTTACAACCTTGGATTTTTGTAAGAGAAAATTGACATAGCAAACTGAGCCGTAACAGAAAGCTAAGCTTATCCATTTGTTGGATGTTAGTTGTCTTTGCAATAGATTATGTATTCTTTTTTTTTTTTTTTTTTGAAGAAGATTATGTATTCTTTTTTATTACAATTAAAAACACATCAAGTATCATTATAATTAAGATTTTATCTAATTTGAATAAATAAGATTTTTTATATCAATAAAAAAAAATAGATTTTTAATAAAAGAAAGTATTTTGCTTTTCTTTCCTTCTCTTGAGCAAAGAAAAAAGCAGTCAAACAAATGACACGATAAAAGAAAAATAAAAAAATCTATCATATGGCAAAGCACATTTATCAAAAATATTCCGCTCTCCCCTTCTTAGAGCATTGTTTGACCATACAAGACAAGATATATAAATATATAAATGAAGAAAATAATATGATAAAGTCACCCCCTCATTTAAAATAAATAAACAAATTATATTCATGATAACCATGACAATAAGCTAAAACTGAGAATCTCTCTCCTTGATGTCAAATATTAGAAATGCTTACACCTTTCTTTTTCTTTCTACTGGCCTTTTTTGAAAACCTTTCTTCGGTATCCAAACGAACTTGACGAGTCATCTCAGCCCACAGTTCCTTAAACCGAACAGTTCGAAACCCCTCTTGAAACCAATCTTCGATTTCCGAAAACAATGCTTCCGGATTCTCTCTCCACAAAGCTTCTAGTTTCGCACAGCTGTCAATAACTCTCCCCTTCGTATTCAACTTACTCAATAAATTACCCACCCGTTTAATCCCCCACGACTGTGGCTTCAAAATGCTCGCAGGCAAGGCTGCCATAAATTCACGAACATCTTTCAAGCAAGGCAGAATTTGTCCTTCAAGAAGTGAATAAGCAAATACAGTAACCCTAGTAAACTGATCTTTGATCGGCAAACTATAAGGAGGAAGGTTCCATAAATGTGGGCCGAAAGTTGGGGTGACCCACGAAAAGACTTGATCAGTTATGGGGTCATAGTAGGGTTTTGACTCGGCGAGTGGGGCCGAGAAAGTACACAAAGAACGAGCATATTGAGGGAGCCAATTTGCTTTCACACTCGTTGCACCATGAATATAAGGCCTTTTAGCTTGTAATAACTCGCTGTAGACCAAGAATTCAGGTGGGGATTTGTATGTAGATGACCGACGATGGAGGAACACTGTTTCTTTGACCATGCAAGCTTGGTATCGTACTCCGTTGACTTTTTTTCTCTCTCCTTCTTCGGACACGAATGAAGAAGCTCCAATGATTCGTTTAGCAACTCTATCTGCCCAGCCAGCAAATATAGCCTGCCCCAAAATCTCCTCTTCGTTCAGCTTAAGGCGTTGTTTGTCTGATGAAACCCTCCAAGCAGATTCCACGTCAACGAGTTTCCCATGATTCCACGAGAACTCGTTTTGCGAATCGGTTGTGCTCGAGGCGAAAACTAGCTGAAGAAGCTGCTTTCTCAGCTTGGACATTTCTTCCATTGTCTTTTTATGTAAGAAATCAGCGCAGAAAGTTTCCGGGTTTTCAGAAACTTCGAAACACTGAAGCGCTGAAGCTATGGTCAGAGCATCGCTCGTGGGGTTTGAAAACTTCTCGCGGAAAATTTTAGCAGATTGTTTCAGTTTCTTTTTCTTTGACTTTTCTTCTTTGTCGGTAACTTTCTTGTTTGAATCCTCTGGCGGTTCATCCTGGTTTTCTCCAATGCGCATTTGAAAGGGATTCGATAAGCTTAAAGCTGAAGCTGCTGCGACTGCGTATGCCAAAACTAGATTTGCTCTTGAGCATTCTTTCACCTTTTGCATGATTTGAATGACGGTGAGGAGCATTCTGGAATGACGAGGGCTCATTGGATAACGAGACATGGCTTTTCCAAGGGGGGTCAGCCTTCCCTTTTCGTCTAGGGCTTCTAGAACCTTCAGACAACGCTCTGCTTCGTTCAACGCTTCCGTCTCTGGAGGCGTTGGAAATGGGAAATTCGCAACCTGCAAATACAAATAATATGGAGTTCACTTACTAATAGGGGTGAAAAACTAATTCCATTTTTGTTCCCAAAAAAAATTGGAAAAAAAATACCAAAACCGGAAAATTTGGGATCGGAATCGGCGGAAATTGGAAAAATCCAAATTTTAATAACCTAAAATATAGAATAATAATAGTTTTTATTATACTGCAATTTTTTCGGGGAAAAAAACTCCGGAATTTTCGGAAATTAAAATCGGGTTGGAACCTGGAAAAATCAGAAATTGGAATTTTCGGAATTCGGAATGAAAAATATTGTTCAAAGAGATAACACTTATGTGCTTAGGAATAGGAAATGAGATAATTTGATAGTTGGTGTTCAAAGATTATCTTCTTTCACTTGAAAAAACAAAAATAAAGGAGGATTAAAAATAAAAAATTCAATTGGAATACAAATTAATTTATTACTTGCCTTGCCAATATGCATGGATTTCATAAGTAGGACAACACCATCAACCGGCACTTTCGAAATTTCAGCTTTCGAGAAATCGGGAAATGAGTTGCCAAATGCTGCCGCAGAGTATAACCGATAACAGTGTCCAGGAGCAGTTCTTCCAGCTCTTCCAGCACGCTGAGCCGCAGAAGCCTTACTTATCCATTGTACCTCATACGTTTCCATACCGTTACAAGAGTTGTAATTCTTGACCTTTTCTTTCCCAGTGTCAACTACATACTTTATTCCTGGAATTGTCAAAGAGGTTTCAGCCACATTAGTGGCTACAACGACAAGGCGTTCGCCTTCCTTAGCCTCCTCAAATACACGAAGCTGTGAAGATGCAGGTAGCATAGCATAAAGAGGCAGGACAAGAAGCGGGCCCGGCGAAGAGGCCTTATTTTCCTCTACCTTTTTTTGTTCGACAGAGGTTGTCTCAACATCTTCGACTTTGGTAGAAGGTTTTTTCCCTGCTAAGGATTCGAAAGCAGCTTTCAGCGAAGCAAGGGTTCCCTCTTCACCTAAAATATCCAAAGTTTTCGACTGATTCTCTTCGTCACTGAAGTATTCAAGATCGCTTTCTTCACTTAATTCGTCCTGTGCATCAGATGTATATTCTTTGGAGAAATCTTCAAAATCATCCTCCATGTAAGAACTAAAACGTTCGGTAATTTCGTGTCCAGAATTCTCTTGAAATTCATATGCCTCAATAATCTCATCCATGTCGTTATCTTGTGGGGGTTTTTCTTCGGAGATGGAAGAAGAAGAGCCGTTATTTCCTTTGGCTATTTTTGCAACTATATCTTGTGAAGCTCTACGCAGTTTCTGACAGAGGTACTCCACCTCTCTCTGCCCTGTAACAAAGACAAGAATACCGCCAGGTGGCAATCTCCTGTGAATTGACAGAATCTTTTTATAAGCCTGACCGATATAATCGCCTTCAACTGTCTTCTTTGAGAAGTGTGTGGTGACTGGATATTGTCGAGTTGGGACTTCAATTACGGGTGGAGGTTGACGAAAAATTCTTGTACTGGACACAAAATCTTCTACACGAAGCGTAGCACTCATCAGCACGAGTTTCAACGGGTATATTCTATTACCCGACTCAATAGTTTTCCCAGCAAGAATCATCTTCTGCTGCTCCTCGTATTCCCTCTGCCATAAAGCAAAATGACATAAATCCTTGTACATGTACAGAATTTCAGAGAGCAAGCAACCACATATATTTATGCAACAAGAGAAAACGGGATACGATATTGCACAACAAATTTGTGTTCTGAACATTTCCATTTTCTTTGAAGTATTCTAATTTCTAAGTCATTCCGGCGTATTTCTATGTAATGCAAATAGTTAAGAATTGTTACCTGACGCTCTTGAATAACTCGAGAAAGCATCCCAATGAGTATATCAGTATTCAAACTCCTTTCATGAGCTTCATCCAAAATTATAACTGAGTAGCGTTTCAACAGAAAATCACTCTGCAATACAAAGAGAATTTTCAGATAGTAAAATAAGCGGAGCAACAGGAATTTTTTTTTTGAAGAAAACATAGAAATTAATACTAAAAAGATAAAGAATAAAATAATAGAAATAAATATTTTCCATTCGCAGCAGAAGAGTATGATTGAAGAACCTGCACTTCGCGAAGTAAGATTCCATCTGTCATAAACTTGATTGAGCAATTTTCTCCAACTCTTCTGTCATGTCTGACTTGAAACCCAACTTCTCTTCCCAGTCGAACGCCAAGCTCAAATGCCACTCGCTTGGCAGTTGCAAGTACAGCTACTCGGCGAGGTTGGGTGACACCAATAACACCGCCTCGAGTACTTAAACGGTCCGATCCATAACCAGCCTCATAAAGAAACTGAAAATTTGCATTTTTTTGGCAATAAATAAAACAAATCCACCCGAACAAAGTTTTTTGCATAATGACAGTCTACCCAAAACCCGAAAACCCGAAAATAAAAATAAAAATAACTAACCTGAGGAACTTGGGTCGTCTTACCACAGCCAGTCTCCCCACATATAATAACACTAATGTTTTCATTTATAGCTTCCATTATTTCTTGTTCCATCATGATTATCGGAAGACCCATCCTCTGCTTTTCCACTTCCTCGGGTCTTGACACACGGACCACAGTTGGAGCAACAAGTTCTCTTGCTGAAGAATAATTGCCCTCCCTTTTCTTTTCTTGATTAAAATTGTATCTTGGATCTTCATCTATTGCATTCTGTCAGATGGAATACATTAAAAACTGTACATGAAAAGTTCTACACGAGCAGATAAATAAAATACGGGTTATCAAATAATTAGATACCTTAGACGTAATCATTTCTTCGTGGGATGAATGTGTAGACTTTTGAAGGGTTTCTCGCATCGACTGTCCAATAGACTCATTAGCCACTTCCTTGACAGAATTAGCAACTCTTTCTACCGAAAGAACACCGCATCCATCGGAAGTAACAGGTGCACTATCACATACTTCATTCTCAGAAGATCTAACACAGACGGATGTGTCGTACACAATTGCCTTTTCTGCTAAAGATGATTGTGCATTCTTAGCTGGTGACTGGATTGCTTCCTCAAATACTTCGGCGCTGGGAGATGCGTTTTCATTTCTCCTTTTCGCAAATGGCTGATCACTGTCAGGCAATTCTAAACCCGCTTTAGCAAACTCCATTTCTCTTCTCCGTTTCTCACGAACAGTTTCAACCTGTATTCGATTAGGCCAACTCATACTTTATGGCATTTCTTTTTCTAAATCAAATAGAACAACAGCGTACGAGGAACACAAACCTGACCCAAGTTCCTCGATGACCACATAAGCGAATACACATCCTCCCCAAGTTTGTATTTCCTGAAACATTAACGGTAAAAAAAAACACAACTTCATAATCCAAATTCCCTTGGTCAGATTCAAATACGTTTCAATGAATTTAGACATATTCGATCATAAAAAAGAAGCCCAAAAGGCAGTATTCTTACTCCAATGTCTCCATACTTTTCGATAGAAGCATTTCCTTTTCCTTCTCTTCCTATACAGTAGCAATTCAGCTTAACCAACAACGAAACACTTCAATATAACTATAATACCCAAGTACTACTAATTCACGTACCTCGAGCTTCTTCAACTTTCTTTTCTGGGATTTGCTTAGCTTAGGCTTGTTCATTGTATTGAGCTTTTCAGAAACAAAAACAGAAAACAATCAAATGCCAAACAAAATTAAATAATCGAGTAAACGCAATTTGAGAGTCCACACCTGATTTTTCCCTAACTCTTTCTTTCCTTTCTTTTTCTTCGCCGGCAGCATGATGATATCTCCACCGTCATTCTCCAAGCTTTTTACGCGATTGCAAACCACAAAGTGTCAGTAAACTACAGCCAAACAGAAAAATACGCGTTGCTTGTTATGAAACCAGAGTGAAAAATTACCTCATCAAATCTGCTCCGTCGTTCAAATTCTTCGGAGTCTTCATTATTTTCCGTCCGGCGACGAGTGCTTTCTCGATGGGAAAACGCCGGCTGAAGGAATTTGCGAGTACCTAACCGGGTAGGACAGGATTCAGGGTTTTAAGAAAGTGAAATTAAATTCGAGCGGTCGGGCCGGGCCGGGTTAACACCGCCAAATAACAACGAAGCCGGTCTGCTGCCCTAATCTACTAACGGGCTTATTTGTGGAAAAAGGCCCACGTCTCCTGTAGGTAATTTTTAATTATTTTTTTCAATTAAAAAAAGATTGATTATTGAAATTAAATTGCAAAAATGCCACATCAATTGTTAGTTAATTAGTTTAATGGAAATTCAGCCTAATTATTATTATAATTATAAATTAAAAAAAAAATAAAAGGAAACTAGTGACATGTCAACTAGTGATTGGAGCTTAACTATCACGCGATATATATATCACGCCAACCGACTCCCAAAGCTCTAGATCGGACAGAAAACCACGGAAGAAGAGAAGAGGGAAAAATGGAAAGTGCGGAAGGAATGGAGATAGAAGAAGAAGAAGAAACCCTAGATCGAACGGAAAAATGGGAAGTGTCGAAGGAATGGAGATAGAAGAAGAAGAAGAAGAAGAAGAAGAAGAAGAAGAAGAAGAATCAACTCCAAGTCCAAGTCCAAGCAGCGCAAAGCGATTCGGCCTCAAAAACTCAATCCAAACGAACTTCGGCGACGATTACGTCTTTCTAATCGCTCCCAAGTATGATCCCCTCTCTCTCTCTCTCTCATTATGCTCTTTTTTCTTTTTCTGTTTTTGGTTGCCTTTTCGATTTGTGGTTTTATTGAACGAAATAATTTGTCTGTAATCGAAGAAGCATTTAGTGATTAATGACAAAGAGTAAGAAAAAAACATGTTGGACTGAGTGTGCAATAATATGGCTTGTTGTAATCCAGGCGTCTTGCATAGCTACAGGTCCGCCGCAGGTTGTATTCAGCTTTCCGTTTGGTTGGGAAGGTCACAATCTTCTTGCAGCGGGGTGCAAGTCCAAGGTATTATCCTTTCTCATGTTTATTGATTATAATAATATTCACAAGAAAATAGAAGTGTGATTAAATTAAATTTCCTATTCTTGCTGTTAATCTAGATTTGAATTTACAATCTAGTGTTGTATTCATAGATAGAATCTTGAAATATGGGCATGAAAATTAACATGTGCTTGGCAGCGGATAGATATCCACAGAAACTTGCCAGTTGGTTCATATGTTTGTATCAAATTTATGTTGCGTATATCCCTTTCTTGTCCTTGGATATATCATATTTAATTGAGTACCTAGGTTATCTGTTCAGGGAGTGCAGTTATGTTGTTTTCCTTTCGGAGTTATTAGTTCGTACGTTGAATAATCTTTTGCTTTTACTACTTTGGTATCTGTAGATAAATTTGTGGGATTGGAGGAGAACAAAGCAGATTGCATGCTTTGAGGAAAGTAGCATGGAAGATGCGACTCAGGTAATTAGATGCCTTTGGTTTTTTGACTAAGTAGAAGTATTTAGCAAGTCAAACACTAATAACTTCATTATTCAACCCAAACAAACCTGAAAACAGATAAAAGAGAAAAATATGGTAATCCGGAGACTTCCTAGGTAAGGATGAACTCAGCAGCCTTAGTCAGTTTAATTTGAATGTTGACCCTGTATTGAAAGCTTTGCTAATTCCAATGCTTGGGAATATCAACATCTTATGAATTCAATTTATATAATTTATTGTTCTCATATTGTCTTTACATGAATGAAATGTAAGGTGTAAAAAGATGGCAAAGAATGGGTGGCATATGATTTGACATATTAAACATTTTGTATACTTTAGTACATTTTATTATATATTCACTCTAACCAGGAATTTTTTATTGACATGGGTATTCTATGAGGGTAGGCCTTATAATGAAATTGCCATGTCAAGTTTTTGGGATTGTTAATTAAAATATTTGACTTACGACGGGCAATAAATGTAGGTTCATTTTGTTCCTGGTCATAAAGGAAGCTTGTTTCTGCTTCTTTGATGGATTAATGTGTCTCTTTGATACCAGTGGAGACAAAAATGATGATGATCATTTGATTTCGGTAAGTGGGATGAGTTCTCTAGTTTCTGTATCCCTGCATCTTGTATTATTTTATTCCATAATCCATGTACGAGTTTCTGAAGAGGTGTCGTTGCACAATTTTATATGAGTTTTGCTCATATAACTGCCGTTTTACTTTTAACAATGTTAATAGTTGGTGTAGGTTCATTCATTAATTAACAATAGATGAAATGGAGACTCTTATTAGTTAGTGGTAGGTTCATTCATTAATTAACGCCAAGCCAAGAGAATTTTACTACTACTGAATCTGCGTTGCATATTTTTCATTTGTACTTGTAGGAGTATTTATATTTTTAGTTGCTTTTATTGCATATTGTATACAAGTTTCCACTTAGGCAGTAAATACTCATTGTTAGATTTCTTAGTTTATATTTTTGTTACATGCATTAAATGAAAGGTGTAAGAAAGATGTCAAGGAATATTTTAAACATTTTGTAATATTTTAGTACATTTTATTAGATATTCGCTCTAACAAGGAATTTAATATTGGTTTGGGTATTTTGTGAGAGTAGGCCTTACAATGGAATTGCATGTCTAGTCTTTGGGATTGTTAATTAAAATATTTGACTTACGACAGGCAATAAATGTAGGTTCATTTTGTTCCTGGTCATCAAAGCAAGCTTGTTTCTGATTCCGTTTATGGATTAATGTGTCTGGTTGATACCGGTGGAGACATAAATAAATGATGATGATCATTTTGATTTCGGTAAGTGGGATAAGTTCTCTAGTTTCTGTATCCCTGCATCATTTCTGTCTTTTTATTCCATAATCCATGTACGAGTTTCTGTAGAGGTGTTGTTGCACGATTTTATATTAGTTTTGTTCATATATCTGCCATATTCTTTTCCTCTTGAGTCTTGACAGTTTTAATAGGTGGTGGTACGTTCATTCATTAATTAATTATAGTTGAAACGGACACTCTGAAGCCACCGGAATTTTACTACTACTGAATCTGCATTGCATATTTTACATTTGTATTAGTAGTAGTTATATTTTTAGTTGCTTTTATTGCAAATGGTATACGAGTTTCCACCTAGGTAGTACAAACTCATTGTTAGTAGTTTATTTTCTTTTGACTATCTCATTTGTTTGTATATTATTCACACGCACGATGACTAGATTTTCAACGTGGAAACTTGAATTGGAAAAGTTGGATACTCCGGTGCAACAAATCGGAAGTTGTGGTGTTTAACACATATCGAAACCCTGAGGTACGTCTTGATATAATTTTGCCTACATGCCAAATTGGTGGAACGTAGATGCAAACCTTTCACCTTGTGAGATGTTTAATGCCACAAACATGATTGTTGTAAATTTTTTCTTTCTTTAGTGTCTGGGATTGTAGTGATGAAAGAAACTAAGCCATCTTTGAGGATGCTCGTGGATTGGCTTCTGAGAGCTGGACATTAGATATTGTAAGTGACTTTTTACCATTTTTTTTTCGGATGTGGTGCTTGGGGCTGTTTTATTGAAAACTGTTGGTTGTAAAATGGATGTGACAGGTGAACTGTTTTGTGGATTATGAGTATTCCAGTGAGGATGATAGTCTATAGGTGTGATAGGAGGCACAAATGGTGGCGACGATAGGGTAATTTGCAGGGAAATATGCAATCCCAATGTGCGCAAACAGGTATTGTTAGAAGTGTGCTCCCCTGCCTGCACATGGGGGTATCAACTGCATCATTAGTGGATAAATCTCCCAAAACCACAAGAAAATTGAGACATACTACTTATTAAATAGATACACAACATCATTCACCCCGCACAACCCCCCGCCCCGCGCACCAAAAAAAGAAACGAGAACACCCACTTCCTTGGGTGTCCTTATTGAAGAAATGAGCCGTCCGACCTGCCCTTTCAGCCCATTGATGGCCACCCCTTTCGGCCCACTGTTTCGATGAGCTGGCCTACTTGGCCCATGAATGGAAACATTGAGCCCAGCCCAGCCCAGCCCTTCGTACCATTTTATATTATTGTGTCAGGCCCAAGGAAAAAAAACTGATCAGTTTGAAACCAAGTAAAATAATAATAGTAATTTATTAAAAAAATTATGAAAGAACTTGAGTAAACTGCAAAAACTACCCCTGTGTTATCTCGAAATAGCGAAAACCCCCCTGTGATAAATAAACTAGCAAAAACCCCCTGTCAAATTTAGTCAAAGGCAGAATCCCCCTAGCTGATTTTTTAGACTTGAAATGACAAAATTGTCCCTCAAAATGTATTTATATATATACATATTATATGTATATTTATTCTTTTTAATTTGTTTGTTTAGAAATAAAAAAAAATAGTAAACAACTAAATTGATTATTTTTTAAATAAAATAATTAAAATATTTATAAAATATAAGAATTCATTAATTGCAAGACTCCAGGGATTTTTGTGTCTTTTTAAATCAAGTCAACCCTCAGATAGTTCCATAGGGGGGTTTTGCTATTTAAATAATTTCACAGGGGAGGTTTTTGCTAGTTTATTTATCACAGGGGGGTTTTTGCTATTTCGAGATTATACAGGGGTAGTTTTTGCAGTTTACTCGAAAGAACTTATTGTTAAACTCTTAGAATAGTAGAAAATAATTATTAGCAGTATTTCTTCATTATACAAAATCCAATTGTCAAACAGTAATACTGAATTTGTGCGACAAACCACGAATTAGGCCCAGCCACTGAAAGTCTTAACCCCGAACCACTCACGCAAATCTTGGTGCAGTCAACTACAAAATTAGGGCCCCAATTCACTGAGAAACATCGAGTCCTTTGAACGGAAATCATGGCCCACAACGAAATATAAAACCCAGCCCATTAAAAAACAAATCAGCACGTCAAAACGTAGGCCAAGCCCACAATAAATAAAAGCGTGGCCCATTGATGAGGCAGCAAATCAGAAAAAAATTGAGGGCCCAGCCCAGATAACCAACAAATTTAGAGGCACAAACCATTAGAGCAAAAATCGTAGCCCTGCGCAAATAAACAATGGGGCCAAGTTACTGAAAGAAGATGAGGCGCACGAACAAAAATAGGTGGCCCAGTTCACGAATTGAATCAAGGCCCATGAAAAGCTAAACGCAGCCCAGATTGCGGTCAAATAAAGAGGCCCAACCCATTAGAGCAGGACATGAAGCCCAGCCCAAATGATTAATGGGGCCCAGATACTGAAAAAGAGGTCGCCCAGCTCACGAATTGAATCAAGGCCCACGAAAAGCTAAACGCAGCCCAGATTGCGGTCAAATATAGAGGCCCAACCCATTAGAGAAAAAAAAATCCCCAGTCCAATTTATCAATGGGTCCCACTTTACAAACAAACGGAGGTCCAAAAAAAAAGTGGCCCATTAAAACTGCTGAGACCCAACCCAGTCTAAAAAAAATGAGGCTCAACATGAAAGCAAAATTTGGCCCAGATAACGATAAAATTTTGGGGCCCAGCACATTAGAGGAAAAAATAATGCCCAGCCCTATTAAATAATGCGGCCCACGAACAGAAAAAGTGGCCCAGTCCGCGAATTATACATATTAGGGCCACATCACCAACAAAAACTGAGACCAACCCATATAAACAACCTGTTCCAGTTTACACGTATTAACAAAAACAGTGTCCCGGTCCACGAATTAAATTAAGGCCCATTAAAAGAAAATAACGCCCAGCCCAATCATTTCTTATTTATTTTGTTAATCCCTTATTTATAATTTATTACAACTTAATTCCTTATATATCATACCTTTTTTAAATGACAGGACCGCTTCACTGGGGACTTGAGCTCATCTGGTCTCTCGAGCTTTTACACAAGCCGACCTTCACCTGTCACAATGCAAGCAAGTAATTAACTTACCGGACATTTATTTATCCACGTCACGTTTAATCAAACTCTTGAGCAGATATAAATAATTATGATGATCCAACAAAGAAGCATAGCACTATTTTAACCAACAATTCAGGACATGTATTTAGCAAAGTTGTACACTACAGCCCCATGAAAAATTTTGTGCACATTAAGATGTGCAAAGGAAGTCAGAGATTACTATATTGCACGTGCTCAATAAAACATTGCAATGAGAAAGAAAAAAAGAAAATCTCAAGTTTAACAGATGAAAAAAACAAGACAATATAGTAAGCGCCACCCCTACCTCGACCTCCATACCGCGGCCTATGCGTTTAGCTTTGGAGGAGGTATCCCGTGCCCCACACCAGGAGGCTTTCTATCTGAAAATATTAAGCATAGAAATTAAATCAGAATGTCTGCAGTTTTACTACTGTGAAGAAATTCTTGTCTAAGCTGAACTCAAAACTCTCAGAAATAAATATAAGATATCTCATATTCGAAGCAAAAAAATGTGGAATCAGGCAAGCACTCAAAAAGTAATTTCCAACTCCCGCCTACCCGCCCAAATCAAATATAGGGGGGGTCTCACAATGGGGCAGCAAAAGATTATACTCAATAAAATATAAAATATAAATTTTAAAACAAATTAAAAAGAAACCCCAGAACTGCTTGAACCAAATGTTGGCTTTCTTGCACAATGAAAAGTAAGAAGCCACAGAACTAATCTCTAATAGAATCGATGATTTTGTAAATTCTCATGTAGCTAAATTGTGCCTTCGCTGTCCTCACAAGGGAGACATTAACAAATTTTAATTAAATCAAACACAAAACATTATACCTGAAAATGAGTAAGCTCGTTAAAAAATGTCACAAAACTCTAAAAAACTTATATCTAAGCAATATACACACATGTACACAGATATATTAAGATTTAATCAGAATTTGTCGATGCCAAACTGAGTGACAGAACATGATTCTAGAGGAGATAGTATTGCTGATTCACTAACTATTTCCGTTGGGCTCAAAGTGGAGTTCCTATGTTGTCTAGCTGTCAGGTCTATCTCAATCTATTTACTGCGTTAGTCGTCCCGTTCATACATCTCACTGTTATTCACGACGGGCAGACTGTAATAGACCATCTCAAACTTATTTCACACTGCAAGGAGACAGCAAAAAGGAAGGTTCCCGAGAAAAACCAGGAAATTCAGTAAACCAAAAGAACGACTACTAGAGATGTTATCCTAAGAACTTTAAGATGATAGCATGTTAACAAAATCTAACATGATAGGCTGCATTCATGGATATCTACTCAAGTCAGCCACATACAGAAAACATCATCTGCAATTGACAAACGGTGATGAAGGATACCTCATCTGGAACTGTAAGATACTTGATTGTATTTCCCCTAATGTAGCACTCAGGATTTCGCCAAAACCTGTCCCCATCCTGCATAAAATAAAAATTATTCAATCTCATAATCTCGAGGAGCCAAAGAAAGGAGTGGAACATTCTAAATCGAACTTTATATATATGAATAAAAGAAATATAACTATGATCTAAACAATTATGAACATGAAGTACCTTCGAGGTACATATAACTTCACGAAGATGGATGTTCATCAAAGTGTCGCAGTTTACCAAATGACCATTGTACGTCTCTCTATTTTTCAGTTCCACCAACTGTTCAACACAAAAATAACAAGATTGGCAACCAAAAATCAGTCCACCTTGAATCCATAATGTTTAAAAATTCCTAATTACCGAAACCTAAATATGACAATAAAATTCGCTATGCATATATGCCGTAGCTTCAAACAGTGAAACAAGGGAAGAACTGAAGTTGAACATTACGTACAAAATTCACAAGTATTAGGTAGGGACGTAGGGTACATTACATCAAAAGAAACTGTCTATTTCTCTAGTAACTGAACGAAGAAAATAAAATAAACAAGAAAAAAAGGTTTAGGGCAAAAGGTTTACCATAGGGTGACCTTGCACAGTCTCGAGTAACAAAAGTGGAAGCTGCAAACCAAGAACCAGCGAATCAAATCAATCTTAAACTTGCAAGCAAAGAACAACAAACCGAGAATTCAAAAAATCCAAAACAGCATAAGACCCTAGAATCTGCAGCGAAGAAAAGGGTAGAGAAATCTTGCTTTCTTCTGCGGTACAACATGGTAAAATATAGGCATGTCTCACAATGGAACAGCAAAAGATTATACTCAACGAATAAATAAATAAAACAATAATAATAAAAAGAATCCCTTGAAGCTCTTGAACCAAATGTTTTCTAGCACAATGAAAAGTAAGAAGCCACATAAAAACCCTAAAATATCTCATCAGAAAACAGTAATTTCGGAGAGTGTATTGCATAAACGAAAAACAGAACTAATCCCTAATAGAATCAATGATTTTGTAAATTCTCATGTAGCTAATTTGTACCTTTGCTGTCCTAAACTACGAGCCATTAACAATTTATAACACAAAATATTATACCTGAACGGCTTTTTGTATCCTCTTGAACTTTGTCAATCACCTGAAAATGAGCAAATTCATCAAAAATTGTCACAATAATCTGAAAAATATATTTAAGCAATATACATATATGTACACGGATGTATAAAGATTTACTAAAAAATTGTCAATACCAAACTGAGTGACAAAACATGATTCTAGAGGAGATATTATTGCTCATTCACTACTGTTTCCATTGGACTCAAAATGGATTCCTATGTTGTCTAGCTGTCAGGTATATCTCAATCTATTTACTGCGATAGTCATACTGTTCAGAAACTGACTGTTAACCACAAGGGGCAGACTATAATAAACCTTTTCAAACTTAAACACCGGCAGATATGAAAGAGGTTTCGCATTGTAAAGAGACAGCATAAAGGAAGTTTCCCGAGAAACCAGGTAAACTGAAAGAATGAGTACTGGAGATGTTACCCTAAGTAGATAGCCTGTTAACTAAGTGATCATTGTATATTTATATGTCTCCCCATTTTTCAGTTCCACCAACTGTTAAACACACACAAAATTGGCAACCAAATTCAGTGCACCTTGTTTCCACAATTTTACACATTCCTAATACTGAATTTAACAATAAATTCACTATGCATATATGCTGTGGGCTTCAGGCGGTGAAACAAGGGCAGAACTGAAGTTGAACATAACATACAAAATTCACAACATATAGATTCTTACAGTGTTATGTAGGGTTCATTACAACAAAAGAAACTCTCTAGTTCTCTAGTAACTGAAAGAAGAAAAGAATATAAAACAAGAAAAAGAGGTTTAGGGCAAAAGGTTTTACCCTAGGGTGACCTTGCGCAGGCTTGAGTAACGAGAGTAGAAGCTGCAAACCAAAAACCAGAATATCAGTCAACCTTACACGCGGAAGCAGAGAATAGACAAAGCGATAATTCAAAAAATCAGAACAACATAAAACCCTAGAATCTGCAGAATCTGCAGAGAAGAGGAGTAGAGATTTACCATCTTGTTTTCTTCTGCGGTACAACCAGGTATCCAACTGCATACAACAAGGGCGAAAAAAAACAACGAAATAAAATTAACAGAATCGTGTAAGGTAACGACGGACATCGAAAAGCATAAACAGAAAACCCTAGAAAGTTCAAAAAATTACCGAGAGCGAGTTGATGAGGCGGTGATCGAAGACGATGTAAGAGAGGCGAACCTTCTACACAGAGAGTAGAGGCGCAATTAGGTTTCCTTCTCTCTCTAGATCTCTCTCTCTCTCTCTCTCTTCTTTCTTCTCTGTAAGAATCAATGGAGACTGGTAACCGCTCCTTGCGTTCTTCACCTTCTCTAGCAAACCGACCTTTTATTTTCTGACCAGCCTTCGATATATTTGCGTAATTATTGGAATGCAAACTCGAGTAAATTACAATCACCCCCCTTAGGTATTATATATTTACGAAAAAACCCTTCATTGTTCCCTAATTACATCCACCCCTTGCAATTTATAAATTTCTTACATTGACACCCTTTCGTAGGGGTGTGATGAAAGCAATTTACAAACTGCAGGGGGGTGTATGTAATTTCTCAACAGGTGGTTGCAATTTACCCTTTAAATTATTAAGGGCTGTATATATAATTAGGGGAATTTTTTTATTTTTTTTAATGATTCATCAATTTTGTGGTTGGATTTGATCGAATGTGTGTTGTATTTTATAGTACCACAATATCTTAGAAATGAAAACTGAAAAGCAAAAGGAGCAAGTAAACCTATGTGATTAATATTACTTCAAAAATTAGGATTACATATTATTATTCCCCTGGAGCATATTTATTCTAAGTTATAACAATGAGGAGGCTTTTCTCACCAATAACCTTTTTAGTCTGGAGGCAAAAACCACACAACCGAGAAAAACCTCAAGAATGTTGTCTCCATAACAGGATAAAACCACCTTACGGAAAAAAACAATGTGTTGTCCCGATAATTTTCATAGTGTCTCGTGAACAAGACATAAGAAGCTCTGCTAGATATATATTTAATCAGATGGGCCAATCATCTTTTCCGGCACTACAAGCGTATCAAATTCTTCAGAACTGAGGACACCGAGTTTTAAGGCAGCATCCTGGTAATCCAAATTTCAGTCAAATATCTCATATACGATTAATTTACCTCTTTTTTTTTTGTTAAGCAAATATATTCAGATAATAATGAGTTGCAATTGCAAAATACGTGCACGAATGAGTAAAGAATCAAACCTTCAAGGTACTTCCCTCCTTGTGAGCTGTCTTGGCAACTAAGGCAGCATTGTCATAGCCGATTTTCTAGAATAAACAACGTAATTCAGTTAAAAATAGCACTATTTGGGCAGTATAGATATATGAAAAAATAATGAAAACACAAAGATGTCGATGATGATAACTTACGGGATTCAAAGATGTCACGAGCATGAGGGACTGCAATATTATAAATGCACCATTATATTAATTAGACAAGGGTGTTTTGAATGAATAAATCCAATGACATTTCATTTACCAAGTAGTGACTTACCTCATGTAATAATTTAGCTATTCTTTCTTTGTTTGCTTGAATTCCCCGTACACAATTCTTTTCAAAGGAAGCAGAGGCATCGCCAAGCAATCTCAATGACTAACCAACAAAATAAAATAGATGTCAAGAAATAATTAAATTTATTTAAGCAAAAATGTATGTGTTTATGTATTATGTACGTGCACACACATACGGAATGGCTGGTAATTTGGAAGGGAAAAAATAATTAGTGCGATGGTGATTTACCAGAAGAATAGTAGAGAGGGAGAGAGGAGAAAAAAAGGTCAATAACAAATCTGAATATTAATGACGCGAGGTCATAATATTCAATGTAAAACTTGGATTAAGATCAAATAATAAAAAGTGTAACTTACGTGTAATAGATTACTGGCAATGACAGGCTTAAATACATTCAGTTCAAAATGGCCATTGGATGCACCCACTGTTATAGCGACATTGTTGCCCATAACCTGGAAAGTACGAAGCATGAGAAAAATTTCTTGCATCTGGAAAGTGATGTTTTTCCCTTACTCTGAGATTAGTATTACCTGAGCACAAACCATAGTGATGGCTTCGCACTGTGTAGGGTTCACCTTCCCCTGAAATTTTGAGATTAATCGAGCATCAGAAAGTTGATAGTATTTATGAAGCATAAGATAACAAATATTTATGCTTCAACTAGATGAAATGAACAAAAGCGTTACCGGCATTATACTGCTGCCAGGTTCATTTTCAGGGAGTATGAGTTCTCCTAGACCACAACGTGGACCACTGTATAAGAGGAGGGTGTGAGTACAACACAATTGAAGCAAAGTACTAAGGCCTCGTTTGGTTGGTAAGATAGCCATGATTATTTAAATAATTAGGACTTATTTTATATTTGATAAATGCAACTACTTTTCGGGTCGGCCAGCAATTATGAATGGAAAAATGAGCTCTTATCTTGGCTTATTAGGAAATTGTGTATTGGACCTCCCCTATGTCCAATTATACTATTGGGTTCTGAATTCTGATAAGATTGCATAATTATATATTGGCTAATCTTATCTTGAGAACCAAACGAGGCCTGAAAGTAATGGAGCAACATCCCTAGCCTCATATACCTTCCTAAGAAACGTATGTCATTTGCTATCTTCATGAGTGAAACAGCAATTGTGTTTAAGGCACCACTTGTTTCAGCAAAAGCATCATGGGCAGCCTATTAACACAATAAAGACAAACATAAAACTTCCTTCGTGAATTAATTTGTTAAAACATGTAATAGAAACTTTCACGGATGTATATTTGCAATACGAAAACTAGCCGTTTTCAAAAGAGAGATTTACCAGGGCTTCAAATTTATTTTCAGCCGTCACAAATGGCAAATTAGTTTCCTCAGCTACTGCCGCAGCAATCTTTACATCAAATCTGTGAACATCCAATTGCTTTCATAAATGAAAATAAAATGGAAACTTAACATTATTACCAACTACCAAGACACAAGGACAAAAAGAAAGGGGAGTCGGGATTTATTAAAATGTAATGTAGGTAATAATCAGAAATGTGCTGCAAACACAAGTTAAGCGCTTTATTTCATACCCTTTCCTTGTGTTCAGACCAGTTCCCACAGCAGTGCCCCCCTGTGCGAGCTGCATATATTGTCCAAACTCTTAGGACCACAGCAAAAAAAGTTGAAAAGGAAATAACAGGCCAAGCTTTATATTACCTGATACATTCGGGGGAGAGTGCACGAGACTCGATCAATCCCGTACTTCACCTGCAACCACAGAGGCGATAATTATGTTTGAAAAATAATTTTGGCAACCTTTAGAATTCTATTGAAATAACATCACTATACCATGATACCAATGTCAGCAAATGAATTAGATAAAAAGCTTACTTGTGTAGTATAGCCACTAAATTCTTGTCCAAGTGTCAAGGGTGTAGCATCTTGGGTGTGCGTACGGCCAATTTTCACGATGTCTTTGAATTCAACAGACTGAAATGCATCACAAAGCAGACTGAGTTATAGAGTTATCATCTTCATACCAGTGGTAAAGTCAATGCAACAATTAGCAAAAGAATGTGCAACATATGACCAAAAACTGTACAACCACTAAAAAAACTTGTAGAAAGAACTAATGAATTTTTTTTTATCATAGTTTTGTGATATTTGCTTGAAAAGGACACAAATGTAACCGTAGATTGGGCACAAACAAAAACTGAAGCATAAAATGCCTGGTGACTAATGAGCCTTGTGGAAAGCAAAAATAATCGAAATAGGCAGAAAAACAGAGAAAAGGGACGAAAGTAGTTATGATGGGTTAGCAGAACCTTTGAATGTAGAGTCGTGTGTAACTGTTTCAATTTTGGGATTAATAGGGAATTTATCTCCATCGCAGCTGCAATGTGCATGACCTATGCATAAAACAAGCCAAAATTAAATAACTAGCTATAGTTCTGGAACTATGATTGAATGTAACAAAATATAGCCTTCTAACGAGAAGCTTACAGTTGGAAATGTGTCATTAGAAGATTGTGACCTGTTTACATGGTCATTTGGATGAACCACCTTTTCACCGCGCTTGTGGCCAAGAATTTCAGCTGCTCTATTTGCAATAACCTGTCAGACAAACGTACACAAATTAAATCTAAACAGAAACACAACAGCAGATTACGACTTTGCATTGAAAAGTAATGGCTACTAATATAGCATTAGAACTAAATCATAATACTGGCTGCCAATAACAACTGAAACGACGTGTAGCACCCAACATGCTTAAAACAACAAATTTTACTTCACTAGATGAAGAAAGTCTCAGAAACTAGTGGTACCTCGTTGGCATTCATGTTACTCTGAGTACCACTGCCAGTTTGCCAAACAACCAACGGAAAATGATCGTTTAATTTTCCATCAGCAACTTCTTGTGCAGCTTGCATAATTGCTTTCCCTATGGAAGGGTCAAGGCCGTATTCCATGTTTACCTGCAACACAAAAAACATCCAAAACAATCTTGAGTGAATACGGCATTTCCTTCTCTTCAAACTTAGGGTTTTGATGATGAGATAAGAGAGAATAATTGAAGGATACATATTCTCCAAATATTACTGGAAACAAAAGAAACCAAACGGAAGCAATTATTAACCTAGTATATGCTGTTATGAATAATAAGCAACGATCATAAGCATCTCATCTTCACTGCACGTTGCTTATGTATACATATTTTTCAAATAATAGTTGAAAAAGTAAAAGCAAAAGGAAGCAACTATTGACCAAGTGTAAGCATTAGATAATTATAAGCATCTCACAGCATGTTCTTAATGATAGAGATACAGTAAGTATTAATAGAAACAAAAAGGTCAGTGGGATGGGTATTCATAAGCAACTGACCTTAGCAGCACATTTCTTGAGAATTCCAAATGCTCGTACAATTGGTTCAGGCATTCTTTCCCGGTCACCTCCAATTTCGAAGTTCTGTAAGGATCTTTGAGTTTGAGCACCCCATAATCTGAGCGATTCCAAAAAATGGCCAATATGATCATTCAAGGGCATTTAAAACAAGAGTAACTGTGTGTTTATGTATGTGAGGGAGAGGGAGGGGGTGGGTGAAGAACAATCGTACGGCAATATCACCAAACAGATGTAAAGAAAAAGATGAGGATCAGCTTGGTTGTAACTTCACTTCGTACCATCATATTTAATGCATTTTGGCAGAATAGCTAACGCAATAAACCACATACCACACAGGACACAACGAAATAAAACATTTCTAATGTCAAATTTCACAAAAAATGGGTAGTATGTTCTATCTATATAGAAATGAGACACGTATTATTTTGCAAATATATATACATATATTCTAAGTCGGGATTTCAATCTTCTTCGACAAACAAAGGATTTTATGAATCTATAAGAACAAAATTCAGCAAATTGTTGAATCTATAGGCTCGTGTTTTGCAGTGTCACGTCCAATTTGTATTCATTACCCAAATTATCAACGCATGCTAATGATCAATATCTACTTACTAATATAATATATGAAGTTTTGTTCACTAGTGCGTATCCCTAATAAGAAAAATGAATGTGAAAAACGGCTCTACAAAATCCAAATATATAAAATCAGAAGGTGGACCACGAGCAGCAAACAAAACCTAAAAAATAAAATATGAATAATTTTCATTACTTCACTTAATCTGACAAAAAAAAAACGAAGATCCATTGAAAAATACACAGACAAAATACAGAATCGGTTTATCTGAACGATCAACAAGGAAAAGGTGCTCAAATTGAAAAGTATAGAGAGAGAGAGAGAGAGAGAGAGAGAGAGAGAGAGGGCACAAACTTGTCGGAAGGAACTTGAATGGGGCCGAAGGTATCCCTCTCTTCTCTGAAGGACGTCGAGTACCATCTGAGGTTCGCCGCGATGGACGACGTCATCGGGGATCGACCCGATAGACGACGGCTGATTATGAGCATCGCCATTGCCGGAATCAATGGTAGGCCACCCGCGATCGGAAAACGGTTTCTGCCAGTCACCGCCGGAAAAAAAGAATTGAAAATTAGAACCTTGAATCGTAGTTTGATTTGTTTAGTTAGTGCGCAGCCTCTACCAATTTCTTTTAGCCGAAATGAAGAATTTTTCGTCAGCCATTAGAAACTTTCGGCACACTTTCCTATGCGTGACATCTGGCCCATCGCTACTGGCCCGTAATAGCTTTCTCCGGCAAAGATTCGGCCCGTTTATGATATATTGGGCCATAATTCGGCCCACTTTGGTGATCCATAAGACCCAATAATTCATAATTAATTATACAGCTAAATTTGTTTTCACATAATTAATTATTATTTACTTGCTGTAGATACGATTTCACTGTCAAGAGTATGAACAAAGTATAGAAACCCTTATGTTTGTTTGTAATACAAGTATTAACACATCTTAAAGCAATCTTACACTGACCACATAATTAGTTGTTAAATAAAATCGGAAAAATAAAATAATAATAACCATTAAATGAAAATAATTGAAATAAGGATGAGGATGGAATCATATGCAGGGAGTCCTACATGTAGTAGGTGGGTCTTAACGCCGTTGGATCCTCCTTTCTTTTTTTCTTTTTTTTTTATTTTTGTAATAAACCTAGCTAAAGTGGGACCGATATACAGCTGTGTGTGTGTATATAATATATTTATATCGCACAGCACAATTAAGCTTCAACAGTCAAATAATTAAATTCAAATAATTTTAAATGCTAGTAGTAATGTTTTGATTGACCAGATTGTAGGAATAACGACCTAAATATCATACATACATACATTCATACCCCCACCCCCGCCTTCAGAATTCAAAGGTAATGGATACAAACAGATGGATCCACTGCGCCAGGTGGCTTTTTTTATTCTATTTTATTTTCTTCTTATTCTGTACTGATTTAGACCATTTGACAGCACAACCCAGAAAGTGCCCTTGTCATTTTTGTGTTTTCAGTTTTCTTTTTTTTTTTTTCCCTTAGCAATTTGAGAAATTTAATTATTATTATTATATTATTATTTAATTATTATAGTTAAAATTGATTGGAAAAAATAAATTAGTTTAGCTATGATATCTTGAAATTGATGAAGCAGACACACACTTTAGTTTAACAACAAAGGGGTATTGGGACAAGTATATGATGAAAGTGTCTACAAAACCTACACCTTAATTAATGATTAAGGAGCCTATTTTCACCTACATTTGGCTATAAAACATACAACTTAATGATGTCAAATGAAAAGGTGACTACCAATATTTTATTTTGTTACTTGTTTGAAGCATAAAATATCTACCTTTCGTAAAATAATAATTTATTGGAGGATCTCCGGCTTTTGAGTTTCGAATTATCGGGTTTTCAGTCCACAAAAATAAAACTGAACGCATGGGCTTATTGATCCCATGAGAAAATATTAGTCCATCAAAATCCCATATTCATCAATTTTAATTTCCGCAACGACATTTACTTGCAATATTGAATTTGAGCGTCGGATGACAATTCTCGACATTTTACCAAGATTGATACATGCTATATATATAAAATAATTTAACACATCCAATTGCACTAAACAAATGAACAATTAATTAATCAGATTAAAAAAATAGAAAAACTTTTAAGAGAAATGATTTGCAATGGGTTTTGTTGTTTAGGTGATATGAGTCAGTGGGGAAAACAGAGGAATAATTAAAGATCAAAATCTGGGAAGAAGAAGGAAGCAACACAAGACTCCAAGGGCCACATAAGGACAGAAAAGACTAAACTCGGAATAAAAAGAGTGGGGCCCCCCTAAACCCATTGGGGTCTGATGTGGCAAAAGCAGTGAGGGCGACATAGCGTTTTCCAGACATCAGGGAACCAATGGGTCCCACTTTTCCCACAAAGCACATTCCACCCTTCATGCTCACACATCAGTCATCACACACACACAAAAAAATAATAATAAT